TCAAAGTCACTATCATCTTAAAATTGAAAACAGTTTTTCGGAGCATATCTAAAGTTCCATTTGGCCCACAATATTCAAACTTCTTAGGATGAGTGTCCATATAAGGTAGAAGACCCCTATTGATTTTGGGGTCACAAGGTCAAAGGTTAAGGTCATTATTAATAACTTAAGTATTAATCAACCTACATCTGTAAAATTTTACAGGATAAACAGCTAATTCTCATGTCTTACAAATGCTTCATCCTTACTAAAAAAAAAACACCTTCGGGCATATAATGCTCCGCCTAGCGGTGCTCTTGTTTAAATTATCAATCACTTGAATAATTCATAAAATTGAATTTGTAACTTAGAATAATTCCTCAGCATCTTTACTAAGCATGAAAACAAATAAAATACAGTCAAGACTGTCATATGTGACTTTCCAAGGGATCTTCAGAAAAAGGTCACATATGACTTAATACAGTCTCATAGAAAATTAAAATTTAAATACCATCTATCTGTCTATATACCATTGTGACTTAACATATATACTGTATAATGCGTGAAGGAATAATATCTAACCAATTGCAAATACACATAGGTACTTTAAATATTTGATGTAAATAAAATAAGAATCCCTGTAAAGCAATATAATTGCATGTATATCATATAAAATTTAATTTTATTTTTTGTATTAAGATTTATATTGAATCATTATGGTACAAAATAAACTTGGATTTGATGCATTCAAATCATTAAATTAAATATCATACTTTTTAAAACATATCCATATCCATAGGTTTTTCTAGTCTGGTATCAACTTTTTTTCCGTATTATTATTGCAGCCATAGAAAGGTAAATAATAAAAAAAATGCTGCCTAAAAAAATCTTCCGTTGGCACTCCATAATTTTTAAAAAACAAGTCTTAATCCAATTATGTTCATTACACCTGTGACCTCAATTTGTTAACACACATCGATTGCATCATGCTTACCATATTTGGCAGTACTACTCTAGACGTCACTTGATACCTGTATACATGTAATCCGTTTAATTGAGGCAGAGGTGTTTAGAGTTTGTTTGAAGAGTACTGACTACTGGATTATAATTCAAATTGGACTTAATTATTTTGTCTTTCTGGGTGTTAAAACAGGTATTATTTATCTGATTAACGGACAATTAAAAGGTGTGAAAGTCGTTTAAATCAGACAAAGCAATGCATTGGGATCAGACAATTAGGGTCGCTTGTCACATATGACAGGGAGTCATATAATTCAGACCATTTATATAGGAAAATATGTTGGAAGGACTGAAACAAGGTCGGATAAGACAGGGAGTCGTTGAAATCAGGGGGTCACTAAGGCAGTCTCGACTGTAAAATGTTTCAAAGTTGATGGTGTCATATTAATACCATAAAAATGTACCTTTTTACTCAATTATTGTACATATTTATTGTTTTTATCTCATATAAATAAAATGAATGAAACATGCTGTTGTTGTTGGTGGGGTTTTTCTTCAAATTGTACATTTATGTGTAATAATAATAATCAATTTTGAAAGTTGATCTGTGTTTATTAATTATTGTAACCAAACTAAGTGACAAACATTCATTTTGGAAAAAAAACTTATTTATCTGTAACGATATCAAACATCTACTCCAATACCGGGAGAGACCGGATATTAAACGTTTGGTACTATTCCCCGGTCTCTAGTAAATCCCGGTCAAAATAGACCGAGGAGAGACAGGGAATTACCGATAGGAGACCGGCGAATAGAACATCTCTCTATAAATAGATTTTCGGACTAGGTCATCAGCTTACAGATACATGTACAACAATAACAAACCATAATAACCCACTGTGTACTACAAAATGATTAATAAAAAAAACCCGAAGAGCGCGATTAATTGACGGAAAAGATTATTTCATTTGAATATGTTTGCATTGCGAAATTCTCCAGTTGCTATTCATTGTTTCGCGCGGATGCCAACAAAGCTCACAACTGTCTTGCTAGAGTTCATGACCTAAATCATTTCATAAATATCTCTGAAAATCATAACCTTTAGATTTACTTCCAGCTATTGAATATTTTACATAAAAATTTCATAATATGTATTAGACATTCCAATGTAAGTTGTTTCCTTTTGCACAAAAAGATTTTTTAAGTTCTTACTACATGTACATAATGAAATTCAATGACCCTGGGACCAGGCCAATTTTGACCCCAGAGTTATAATTTGAACAACCCTCTCTTGGTCTACTACAAAATATTTCATGACAAATATCTAGCCTTTGTCAAATCCGAGAAGAATTTTTTTAAAGTTTTTATTATATACACATAAGGAAACCTCTGAACCCCCCGGGCGGGGCCAATTTTGACACTAGAGGCAAAATTTAACAACTTTAGTAGAGGACCTATAGATGATATCATATAACAAATATTAAAGCAATAAGCCTTGTACCTTCAGACATTCAAGTTTTTACTATTATGTACATGTACATAATGAAAATCAATGACCCCCTATGGCGGGCCAAATTTTGACCCAAGGGCTATAATTTGAACAATCTTGGTAGAGATTGTTCAAATGCTTCACAATGTTATAGTAACCATAGTAATGTGTTAAGTAAGGAAATATTTATACAACAGATAATCAAAATTTCTCAGGATGAATAAATATAACAAATGTTTAAATTTTTCTCTATTTTAAGTAAATTAGTTGGAAATTTTTTTTTTAAATGATCTCAGGAAACAGTTTTTATGAACAGACAGACAGTACATAGTGAAAATCAACGACCCCCAGGGCGGGGCCAATTTTGACCCCAGGGCTAAACTTTGAACAATCTTGGTAGCGGTCTACCAGACAATGCCTTATACAAAATATCTAAGCTCTAGGCTGTGTGGGTCTTTACAAGAAGATTTTTTAAGTTCACTATATAATCTAAACAACACTTACACACACACAACACACACGCACAGGAGAAATGCTATATTCCAGCGCAGATGCTGAGGTGACATAAAAAATGTTTGAAGTAATTTTTAACAAATTAACTTGAAATAACAGTCAATTTTTAATGGGCAAGATTGTTTTGCCAGTTTACCTGTCGGCTATATGGACAATGCCATGTTTGTTCTTGAAATCGTGAAAATTACCTACTCAGTATTGGTTTCCCAGGGTTAAAATTAGAAACCAAATAGCTTTCAAACTTATGAAAGCTTGCTGATGATTGGCTGTGTGAAAGTTCACCAGAAATAATATCGTATTTGGTCACAGTCATATCTAAAAGCAGAGCAATATTTAGAGCTGATTTTAATAAGATTGTAGCAAGGTTCATCCACATTTGTGCTGTGTACCCTATTTTTTGACCAAAGAGGTATTATCTTTGAACCACATGTGCTTGAAACAAACTTTTTAAAGTTTTATATTTGCTATATACTAAAATAAGATATAAGGTCTCCAACAGAACAAAAACATCATGCTGAATGCTGCAATCATGGTTATCTCCTTTTGGTCACCATTCGAAAGGATCAATCCAAGAGTTAACGCTTTTTATTTCATTAAAAATCTTCAAAGAGCAAAGAAATGAGTAAAAGTTTAACAAAATGCCAATATTTTCAATCCATGTCGTTTTCGACGTCCAATCTATTCATGTATACAAACACGATTTCTGGTCGATTCCTACGAAATAAACAGAAAACATCTAAAATTTTCTCATAAATTTCATAAACAAACTCCTTTTCTATTGATCTGCGATGTCTAAACTGAACGTAAGTATTTCAAAAATATCGGTCACTATATAATCTATACAACACTTACACACACACAACACACACGCACAGGTGAAATGCTATATGCCAGCGCGGAGGTCAAGTAAAGTTTGCCATTTTGATTTTGAAGTGACAGGTGAATGAAGCAAAGAAATAGAATTATACGATTGGATAGTTTTCCACTTAATATCTTAAATTAACCAATCAAATCCTTATATATTATTCAGAGTGGAACAGTATACATGCGCTATACATGGCGATGAAAAAACTGTCACAAGCGAGATCCTTTTGTATTTTTTTAAAAGAATTACGTATGTAGAGGGCTTTCGATCAGTTGAGACTTCGCAGTTTGATAGGAAAAGAATTTGTTTAAATTCTAGCCGTTTTTTGTTTATTTCGTAAGAGTCGTCCAGAAATCGTGTTTGTATACATGAATTGTATGGATATCGAAAACGACATGAATTAAAAATAATGGCATTTTGCGAAACTTTTCCCAAAATAAAAAGCGTTAGCACTTGGATTGATGCTTTTAAATATGGCGACCACAAAGAGATAACCGTGATCTGATCGCTTCTTTCAGCATTATTATTATTTGTTCCGCATGATGTTTTTGTTCCGTTGGGGGCCTTATATCTTCATATACATATATAGGCCGATTATTTAAAATATTTTATTATGTGACTAGCGCCTGTGCTTTGAACTTGAGGTAGAAATCATACAAACAACCTTTCTGACCAATTTCCAGGATATTAGGACCATAACAGTAGCCTCTAAAGAGTTAATGGGGTTTTTTAATATTTGGGCTGTATGACTGTATGGAAATAAATCTAAGGATCCCAGTCCTTGTGGCTGGAAAAAATTTTGACTTTAGCATTGACTGCATATCATGTCACTTTAATGTGTTTTTGTGGTCAATCATCGGCAGTAACTGTGTTGTCACCAATTCAGTTTAAGCTATGCCCGGAGGCGAGGATTAGATTTATTGACAAGCGCTGTGTGATATGTAAAGATCTGTACATGCATTAAGTAAAAAAGCGGGCAAAGTCTATTTTGCTTTTATGTTCAAACTTGGCGAAGTACAGAAACTTTAGGTGACTAAGTCGCTCAATTACGAGAGCCCTGGAAATACTAAATAATTATGTTCTTGTAAGCAATAAATCAATAGGAAAATTACCTACCTACTTTGATTACCTTAAATGGAATAAAATTTATACAATTTACACAATTCATGTGAAATGAAACAGAAAAATACTCACTGGTTTGTTAGCTGCCATTGCAAGAGCCAAATTAACTGAAATATAACAAGAGCTGTGTCAGTAGCGACAATTCTCAGTGCTTGAAAGTAAAACAATAGCCTGGATGATGTAGAATTTAACCCAATTAAAGAATGTAAGTTCAAAAAGTGCCATAATTCTGTCAAAATCAATGTCAGAGTTATAGGCCTTGGACAGGGACTTCTTATTATGCTCTTAAATAAACGTATTAAGTTTAAACCCATTCTCTTCAGTAGGTTTGGAGATAAATGTTGTGTGTACATAGTACTTACTGGAGAAATGAAATGAAACTCATCGCAGATTTGTCGTAATTCCACAGATTGTCTAAATACACAAAAACTTTTGCTCACATGTGTGAAAACAAAATAGCAATCACAAATACATAAAATATCACTTTGCCATTGTTTAATAACAAACATGAACTCTACACTTGATGACTTCTGACGAGTGGCAAGCCGACCTTTCAAAAAAATATGTCAATCATTGATGTTTACATACATGTAGTCCCTGCTGTGTAATCCGTATCATCAAAGGTGCTGAAACTCAACTCACTCAGACTTGCACTCATTTCTTTATATATCGGAAGTTAAAAAATTATTGACCAAGTTGAAAATATTTTTAACGGATAATTAGCAGTCAAATATTGACATAAATAAACTATTAATAGTGCATCTTTTTATTTTGTTTGTTCAATCGGCTTTATAAGACTAATTTTTCTTTTGTTCAATCTGAAAATAGTGATCTTGTCACTTCTTATTAAATTTAAATTACAAGTTTGCAGAGGGCAACGGCAAAGCTGACATAACTGTAACAACACCTCGACTTTTTTTTTTTTTTTAAAAAGTCGAGCATCAAATAAGAATAACTGGACATTTTGTCATAATTGTGTTCAATTTTATAGTTTGCTTAGGAAAGTTCAAATGCGTAGTAATATATTCACAAAGACCAATAGGCTTGAGTGATTAATTCAAAGCATTCAAATGAAAAAACGTGCATTATTATACTATAATGCACAAAGAATTAATATCTATTTCAATTCTAACACGTCAAGAAAAAAACATAATAATTATTATCTAGTTGGACTTTATGTTTGGTGAATAAATTTGTTTTCGCCTCAGAGTTTCCAATAGAAACATTCTTTACAGGCTGTTCAAGTGTGTTGAAAAAAAACAACTTAATCTACTGTGTGTAGAAACATTTCGAGAATAACGAATTTTGAAAACATTGATAAAACTTTGTTTGTTTATTTTATTTCACTCTATATTTTTCAAGCGAAATATAAAGTATTCATAGTGAAATAAATGTGAAATTGAACTCGTTTGCGACATTGAAAATAATTCATTGATTAAATACCAAGTTTCTGCCAATTTTAGCAATAATCAGTGAAAATTCAATAATCTGACATTCAAGGTCATACATGAGTCAAGGTCAATTTCAGTTTAATATACATGAAGGTCCTGACCTAAAAGATGTTGTGTCTAAATATGAAATTAAATTATTAACAAAAAACAAAGTTATAGCCAGTTACAGCAAAAAACAACAGATTTTTTTTTATTGACCTCGACCCTTGACAGTCAATGTCATTTGAAGGTCAAAGTTTGGTAGCAAGTCTTTTTTGTCCAAGTATAAATCAAATCCATACATAAACAACAAAATAATGACAATTAACCAAATTCAATAATTTGACCTTGGCAGTCAAGGTCATTTAAAGCTCAATGTCAGTTCAACCTTTTAGAAAGTCTTATCCAAAAGGTTGTTTTGTCCCAGTATGAAAATAATCTATTGATTAATTACCAAATAACAGTAAATTATAGCAAAAATTGATAATTCAATAATTTAACCTTCAAGATCAAGGTCATAAAAGAGCCAAGATAAACCCGAGATCAACATACATGAAGGTCTTATCCTAAAAAATGTTTTGTCATAATATGAAAATCCATTCTTAATAACAAAGTTATAGCCAGTTACAGCAAACAAGAGTGCCATGATCCATGATGTCCCTTATATCCCTCACCTGATTATTAAAGCTCTGAATTAATATTGTTAGCAATGAAAGAAAGGCAAATATATAATGATATTAAATTAAATTGATATTATAACATTCATATGATTTGCACCTGAAATAGTGCAAATGTTAATAAGGTTATTTCGGAAGATGGACAAAACCCCACACTTTTTATTACTAACATGTATATACCTTTGATACCTTAAAATAACTGACATTGTTAACACTGAATAATTAATGTTAATTAAGATATATGAATGTTTACCTTTTAATTTTACTTACACAGTTTGTAATATTTTAATGGTTACACTTTGATTTTGATTTAGCAGTTTGTAACATTTGTATAGTCTATTTTCAATCAATTATATGGTATTGTAAAGGACATTGAAATAAAATATAATTAACATAAATTATCATGTTTAAAGGAACTATGTTTGATTGTTTGTTTTGGTTTTACGTCACACCGACACAGTATAGGTCATTTGGCAACTTTCCAGCTCTACTGGTGGAGGAAGACCTCAGGTGCCTTTATTTCAGGCACAAACAACAAACAGGCCCCTGAGTAGAACCTCTGAGATTCCTTAAGCTAGCTGGATAGCTTCCTCATATGAAAGAATTCAAAAGTCCCTATAGGGATTCCAACCCACATCGGTGAGGGGAAAGTGGTTTGAAGTCAATGACCTTAAAATAACTATGTAAAATAATCAAAGTACGTAACTATAATAATGTATCAAACTTTAGTAAATAATCTGTTTTGTTCTTTTCTTACAAGATCAAAATCATATGAATTGTATGGTTTTATAACAAATAATTAGAAAGTGTGTGGTTATGTCCACTCTATAAAATTTAAGGTATGGGGCTTTTTCTCCACTCTATAAAATTTTGAGGTGTGGGGTTTTGAGGTGTGGGGTTTTGTCCTACATTAGGTTATTTCATATATGACCTTTTTTTTTTACCTCAGATAACCTGGACATCATTCAAAACATCTTTCTAACCAAGTCCAGGATATTTGGGCTAAAAATTTAATCTCTAGAGTGATAACAAAGTTTTTCCACTTTTGGTCTGTGTGAACTAGATTTTGACCATGGATGACCTATATTCAAAGCTGAGCTAGAAATCATCATAACAAACTTTCTGACAAAATTTCAGAATATTTGGGATGAAAATATTACCTTTGAATGTAAACAATATTTTTCCATAATTTGGCTTGTGACCAAGTTTATGACCCCAGATGACCCATATCCAAACATGACCTAGAAACCATCTAAACAACCTTTCTTATTTACTTTATACAAATAAAGAAATGAATGATCCCCTGGGGCCAGGCCAATTTTGACCCCAGGGCTATAATTTGAACAGATTTTGTAAACTTTCATTAAATGAAGCTTCACATCAAATATCTAAGCTATAAACCTTGCACTTTCAGGAGAGGATTTTTTAAGTTTTTACTACATGTACATAATGAAAATCACCTAGAACTGCCACTGTCATGGCTTGAATACCCCCACATACCACTTTGTCAGAATCAACAGTGACCATTGAGAGCTCAAAGACAACCTCCCTGCAAAATCTGAGGTTACTTAGCCAGTGCATTGCTAAGTTATGTATTCTACATGCTTCAAATGTGAAAATGTCAAAATCAATACACCGAGGTCAGACATTCTTAAGCATTTGAGCAGACAAACTTATTATAGTAAAATCCCTGTGACCTTGACCTTTGACACAGTCACCTAAAAATCAAAAGGGGTCATCTACTAGTCATAAACAACCTCAATACCAAATATGAAGACTGTTGACCAAAGCCTTCTTAAGCAATTAAGTGGACAAGCTTTTTTTAGTCAAGGCCCTGTGACCTTGTCCTTTGACCCAGTGACTTCAAAATCAATAGGGGTCACCTAATGGTCATGATAAACCTCCATGCCAAGTTATGGGGCGGATAAGTTTTGAAGTCAAGGCCCCTGTGACCTTGACCTTTGACCTGGTGACCTCAAAATCAATAGGGGTCATCTACTTATCATGACTAACCTCCATGCCAAATATGAAGACTGTGGGTCAAAGGATTCTTAAGTTATTGGGCGGACAAGAAAAAAACCCGACGGACGCCCGACAGCCGGACGAACAAGCTGATTCCAGTAAACCCCCTTACAACTTTGTTGTGTGGGGGTATAATACCTTAGAATGGGGACAATTTTGACCCAATGACTATAATTTGAACAATGCTGGTAGAGATCCACTACACAATGTTTCATGCCAAATATCTAACCTCTAGTCTTTGTCAATTCAGAGATGATTTTTTAGAGTTTTTACTATATATATATATATGAATACATATAAGGAAAATCAATGACATCCTGGGGTAAGGCCAATTTTGACCACAGGACTATTACGAGGGCTGTCCGGAAAGTTCGTAGACAAAGCTATAAATTTATTATAAGCAGTCATATTTATATGATGATTAAATATTTTGCTTAAGAATTTATTCTGCTACAAATTTCTAAATTAAAAAACATGATAAAAGTTGTATTTGCAAATCGCCAATCACCATGGCAACATGATCGACGAATCACGGAGCACTTTGATTTCAGAACAATGGCTACTCGAATAGAAAGTTGCTAAAAGTTTTAACTTTAACGCAAACTCTTGTTTAAATGTTGTGACATCAAAGGGTACTATTGCGTGATATTTAGTGAAAATTACGACGTCATACGCAAAGAAACAGCTTGTTAACGACCATTATAGGCAATGAAGTTACGTAAGTTTTGTGTTGCAAAAATGACGTCAAATTCAAGGATGGAGCAACGTTATGTTATTTTATCTTCAAAGCAACGCTAATAATGATTATAAGCTTTACTTTAATAACAAAATCAGCCAGGAATTGTTAAGGGCAACTGGTGTTTAATTGTCAAACACGATAAAGAAGCGGTGATGACAGTATTTTGTATAAAAAAACGTATCAGATAAGTAGCATGGCCGGAATGTCGTAAATTGCGTTACAACAATCCTTGAAAAAGACAGACATCTCACACACTGTATGGGAACCAGTGACACCTTTGTTGTTGTTTTTTTTAAATGTCGTATATTAAATTCCTAAAGTAATAGCAAGGGAACATAACATGTATTAAGTATACGCCAGACAGACAGGCTGTTTAAATCAGAAGAAATTGAAAAGTGGATAAACATGAAGTTAAATTGACGCCGTTGACGTTGTCAAAGTGCTCCATGACGATGTATATATGTTGTACGTAAAGACTGTAAAAATACAAACGTAAGTTACAATTCAATAATTTTTGATAAATGTGTTCGCTAGATATGTATAATTTTGCTGACAAAATTTGTACAACGTATGTATTGTTATACAATAAAAAATGAAGTAGTATATGAACTTTCCGGACATCCCTCGTATTTGAACATTTTTAATAGTTTCATGAGATGATGCTACACACAAAATATCTTAGCTCTAGGCCTTGCACTTTCAGAGAAGCTGTTTAAAGATTTCATTTTAAAAGTTTATTTTTAGCCCTCTTGTCCAAGATATTTAATTGAGCAGAACCATTTGAACAATTCTAGTAGAGCTTCGTGCTAGGAACAACCCAGGAAAATTTCATCACATTTGGCCTATGGGTTGCTGAGAAAAAGTTGTTTATCATTTGGCTTAGGGGTTGCTGAGAAGAAGTTGTTTGTATAAAAAGTTAACAACAAAGGCACTGATGGAAGATGGACGCCCAACAAATTGTGATCACAAAAGCTCACCTTGAGCACTTTGTGCTCAGTTGAGCTAAAAATGAAAATTTCAATAATCTAACCTTAAAAATCAAGGTCATTTATGAGTGAAGGTCAAGTTCTTTCTGGTTCACTTGAAGGACTATCCTAGAAGATTGTTATGTTCAAGTTTGAATCCATTCAAAAACAAGAAAGTGTTAAACACAAATGCCCCCGGCTCAGATTCTTGTCAGTAGCAAATGTTTACCCATTCACTCAGTTATGGACAGAAAAAATTGCCAAAAAATTGTAAACACAAGTTATATAGCTTGACAAAGTCATGGCATTTTGTAATTGTGAAAGTTGCCAAGTCATTGCTCTGACTTGTGAAGTTGAAAAATATCCAACTTCATGCAAGCTATCTTCCTACCAAATATGAAATACATCTGTCATTAAATAAAGGCTGTATGGGCATAAAGTGTAAAAATCTATTTTTAGCACTGGTGACCTTGACCCAACTGACCCCTTACTCCATCCAAAGGAAGAATACCATGCAAGTTATCTTCCTACCAAATATGAAATACATCTGTCAATAAATAAAAGCTGTATGGGCAAAAGTGTAAAAATCTATTTTTAGCACAAGTGACCTTGACCCACTGATCCCTACCCCAATCAAAAGGATGAATACCATGAGAGTTATCTTCCTACCAATATAAAATATATCTGTCACTTAATAAAGGCTGTATGAGCAAATGTGTAAAAATCTATTTTTAGCACTGGTGACCTTGACCCAACTGACCACTAACTCCATCAAAGTTTATGTTTCTATCAATCATAAATAACATCTGTCTATAGAATAAGGTCAATACACCTGTAAAAATGTAAAATTTTTAACATTGGTGACCTTGACATTGGTAACATTGACCTTGACCCAAATGACCCCTTACTACACCCAAAGAAGGAGGACCTCCCTTGGCATGTTTGTATTAAACTAAGACATCAACTAAAAAATAAAGGCTGTATGAGTAAAAATGTTTAGATTTATTTTTTAAACCAGTGACCTTGACCTTGACCCTAGAGACCGCTTACTCCACAAAAAATTAGAGGACCATCAAAGGTATCCACCTACTAAATATGAAAGATATCATTTAAGAAATTAAGCAATTAGGAGAAATTTAAGATAAATCCAACTTGCCGAAATAGGTTAACCAGACAAGGCCCTATTTACAAAGTGAAAAAAGGGAAATAACTGGGAAATATGGATGACACAGTTATTTAACTTGGCAATATCATGTTCTTTGTATTGATAAGTAAGTGTGGAAATTATAAAGCCATTAGTATAGATAGAACTTAAGATATTTCCAACTTGCCGTTTTAGGTTAACCATTATTCATTTTCTAAGTGCTGAAAAGGGCAATAACTTGGTAAATATGAAAGCCAGAGTTATGGAACTTGCCCAGATCATGTACTTTGTATTGATTAGTAAGTGTGTAAACTTAGAAGCCATTGGTACAGGTAGAACTTAAGAAAAATCCAACTTGCCGTTCTAGGTTAACCTAGTACGGACAGACGGACGGAAGTTCTTACATTTGTATTCTTGTTGGGTATTTTACTGTGTAAAAAAAGTACCCAACAATCAATGAAAATACCCAACAATACATACGGAGTGAGTAGGATTGGTAGTTATTGGGTATTTAGTACCAAACAACTACCCTCTCGTGCGCTCGGACGGACGGACGGTTCAATTACTATATGTCCGGGGGCATAAAAAGAAAGTTATAGCCACTAATAGCAAAAATCAGCAGACATTTAACCTTTGAAGGTCAAGGTCATTTAGAAGATCAATGAATGAAGGTCAAGTTTAGTCTGACCTACTTGAAGGTCTTGTCCAAAGGGTTATTATGACATAGTTTGAAAACAATACACTAAGACCTTAAAAAGTTATGATCAAGGTTAAAGTTTGCAAAAAAGGCAATGACAACAAGACTAACATTTTTATACCTTAAAAAAAGGTTGAGCTAAAAATCAGCAAAGAGTATGTAAAACTTACCTGATGTAGTTGATTTACCAACACCACCTTTGCCTGAAGCAACAACAACAACCTTCTTAACCCCATCTATGGTGGCTTTCTTCGGCAATCCTTTTGACATCAAATTTTTTTGATGGTCTTTAAAATTTTGTCCATGCATACCCTTGAATCATTAAAACAAAAATATTTTATGAACTAGAAATGTGTTGTCACGCCACAAATGCTCCCGCATGCATCCAAAATTTCAGATGTTATAATATTTAGTTCCAAATTTGTTGGCCCAAATTATTTTTTTTCATTTTAAGTTCAAAGCCCTTAAAACTATTCAATGTTAACACAAACCATTTTTATACAAAGTTCAAGGCACTGAAACTATTCAGTGTTAACCTTTTGTAAATTGCATATGGCACATTTGTAGCCGAAATAATGGCTACATACATTTCCACAAAAGTATGAGCGCTGAAACTGAAAATTCAGAATTTTTCAAACATTCAAGAAAGATAACTTTGTCCAAAATCATTGAACCACAACCAAATTCAAACTTGAACTGCTTATTCCTAAGATGTATCTGTATGTCAAATTTGAGTTGAATGTGTACAACCATTGGGGAGATGATGAATGGAAACTTAAAATTTCTGATTTTTTTTTCAAAGTTCAAGAGGGATAACTCTGTTAGCTATCATCAAACCATGACCAAATTCAAAATTGACCAATGCATTCTTATGACATATTAAACCGGTATTTTTCGCGATGTTTTAATTTTCGCTATTATTCTCGAATTGCGGCCGCGTTGCGAATTCATGATACCGCGTTAATTTTTTAACATAACATACATTATAAACAAGAGGGCCATGATGGCCCTGAGGTCGCTCACCTGTATATAGGCCCCTGGAGCAGGGCCAGTTTAAACCCCAGGGCTTTTATTTGAACAAACTTGGAAGACACCCATTAGAAAATGTTTCTTGATGTTAAGTTTTTACTACCCAATATAATGAAAAACAATGACCTTTGCCCTCCCTCATCCCCACCCCCCGGCAGGGCCAATTTTTACCCAAGGGCTTTTATTTGAACAAACTTGGTAGACACCCATAAGAAGATGTTTCATGCAAAACATTTAAGCTCTAGCTCATTGGGTTTTTTAAAAGAAGATTTTTTAAGTTTTTACTATACACATATAGTTAAAAACAATGACACCCCTGGGGGGGGGGGGGCATGGCCAGTTTTGACCCCAGGGATTTTATTTGAACAAACTTTGTAGACACTTACCAGAAGATGTTTCATGCTTAATATCTAAACTCTAGCTATTTGGGTTTTCTCAAAGAAGATTTTTATGTTTTTGCTATACACATATAAGGAAAATCAATGACCCCCGGGGCGGGGCAAATTTTGACCCCAGGGCTTTTATTTGAACAAACTTGGTAGACACCCATTAGAACATGTTTCATGCTAAATATCTTAGCTCTAGCTCTTTGAGTTCTTTAAAAGAAGATTTTTTTAAGTTTTTACTATATGCATATAGGGAAAATCAATGACTCCCTGGGGCGGGGCCAATTTTGACCCCAGGGCTTTTATTTGAACAAACTTGGTAGACACTCATTAGAAGATGTTTCATGCTAAACATCTTAGCTCTTGCTCTTTGGGTTCTTTAAAAGAAGATTTTTTTAAGTTTTTACTACATGCATATAGGGAAAATCAATGACCCCCTGGGGCGGGGCCAATTTTGACCCCAGGGCTTTTATTTGAACAAACTTGGTAGACACTCACTAGAAGATGTTTCATGTCAAATATCTAAGCTCTAGCTCTTTGGGTTTTTTAAAAGAAGATATTTAAAGTTTTTTCTTTTGGTTGCAATGGCAACCAGAGTTCTGCATGGAATTAAATTCTTTGAACAATTTTTAAAGGTGACCACCAAAGGAACATTCCTGTGAAGTTTGGATGAAATTGGCTCAGTGGTTTATGAGGAGATGTCATTTAAAGTAAAAGTTTACGGACGACGGACGGACGGACGGACTACGCCGGACGAAAAGCGATCACAAAAGCTCACCCTGTCACTTTGTGATAGGTGAGCTAAAAAATTAATCTGATGACAATTTTTTTTCGAATTGTGATTAAGTTTTATAATGAATAAAACAACTGAATGCAAATAATTAATATGTGCAATGTTTTATATACATCATAATAAAGATACAGTACGCTCAGCGCGACTTTTTCAAAACCCGCGTGACCCCGCGGATGAGGTTTACCGCGGACGAAAATTTGCTCAGATATTGTCCGCGTGACCCCGCGGACAGAAAATTTTCACCACCGCGGACATATATCGGCGGCTGAAACCGTTTCCCCCGCGGAACGCAGTGGTAAATTGCGGAGGAACGCGGCGGTCAAATAATGAAAAATTCGGCATATGACATTTATGAAAAAGATACTACAACAATTTATATGCCAGCTTTTGTTTCTTATTTAAAAACTTTGAAAACGTAACCCTCAACAATTTTATTCAGGCAATATTCCAGGACGTCTCTTTCAATTGTCAGATGCGTTTTACTGTTTCTGTTTATTTGCATGTTGATCATAAAAAATATGACAATATACAATATCTGACAATATACAATATCCGACAATATCTGACATGATGGCAAAGAGAATCTTTTTGAATTTGAGTCAAATATATATACGGTATGTACAGTATACATAAACTTTTTGGCAAGTGTCATGCTTATTTCTCATGTCCATTTTCGACGGGATTTTTACTGTAAAGAAAAAACAAAAAAAACAAGTCTACTCGTTTTTAAAGAATATAATTGCATACAAATAATTCTTATATATGGTTTAAATATCTTTTTCTTTTATTTCTAATATATGTACATGTATTTTATTTATGTCCTGTCTTGTATTCACACTCATCGACCTCTTATAGGACATGTACTGTAGCGTCAGTCATCATTGAGAAATCAGCACAAATGTCCTTTTTATCATATTTATGGCTCCAATATAGTTTAACGGCAATAATACTTATAGAACCACAAGGAATGAACAAGTAAAGATGACAGTGATAAATGACGATTTCAGTTGAATGTAAAAATATTGGTATGTGGACGAATAGTTTTGTGGACGTTTATAACGAAAGTATTAAAAACAACAACAAAAACAGGTACAGCTGTAATTATTTGTATTTCAAATTCCGTTCAAATAATTTAACGTATAATAACATTTAAGGAGACGATTGTGGTCAATTTTCAAGTCATTGTGTAAAAAAGATGACGTTAAAAAATGATAAAACGTCTATTATTTTTGGAGGTTAATTTATACTGACCAACTGACCATGGCGTTCCCCCGCGGGAAACGGGTGACTGATTTTATCGATAAATGAAGAACGGTCGTCAGAATTTTGTCCGCGGTGGAAACAACTGAACACCGGGGATCGCGGGGAAATTAGGCTTCTCATCGCGGACGAACCCCCGCGTTTGTCCGCGATAAAAAAAAATCGTCCGCGGTGGTATCGCGGAAAAAGCAAAACCCGCGGTGAGCGTACTGTATGAAGGTTAAAGATTTTTCCATTCCTTTTTTTCTCATGAATACATGCATGTAAAACACAAAAAGAGACAATATCCACAAATTTTGCACTTTACAGACAAATATGAACACATATTGTTTAGATGACAATAGATTTACGGTTAAACAGTGATCAATGGAAAATTTTCATACGGTAGATAAAGTATTATAAACAAGTATGTAACACCTTCTTACAAACATTTAACGTTTTATCAAACACGTTATTTGCAAACAAAAAAAACAAAATTGACAAATGATTAGAAAAACGTTCATAATAAGTTAATTACAATTTTGTATATGAAATAAATAAATTAAACCGTCTCTTATTAACACCATTAACATTTACCTTGCATAAGAGCGACACAGTATAGGAATTAACTTTAACCTACCCTGTTATATTGCGGAAATAAAATTCAAATAATCGCGAATATAAATTTCTGACCCTGCCATCGCGAATTCATGATTACGCAAACTAATCCGGGGGTGGGGTTTTCATGAAATAAAGATCACGCCAATATAAAGTGATTTACAGTATCTTTAATTTGAGTTGAATATGTAGATAATGAATGGGAACTGAAAATTTCCTTTTTTTTTAAAGTTAAAGGGGCATAACTATGCCAAAAATCATCGAACCATGACAAAATTCGTACTTGACCTGCATATTTCTTTGACATATCCATATGTCAAATTTGAGTTGAATGTGTAATACCCTAGAGGAGATAATGAATGGAAACTGAAAATTTCATATTATTTTCAAAGTGAATGGGGCATAACTCTGCCGAATTCGAACTTGACCTGCGCATTCCTTTGACTTATCCATATGTCAAATTCGAGTTGAATGTGTAAAACTGTTGGGGAGGTAATGAACAGAAACTGAAAATTTTATCAAGTGGCATAACTCTGGCAAAAATCATCGGACCATGACCAAATTCGAACTTGGCCTGTATTTTTTCATGATATATCCATATGAGAAATTTGAGTTGAATGTGTGCAACTGTTACTAAGATAATGAATTGAAACTGATGATGACGGAAGGAAGGAATGACAGAAGGACGGAACAGGGTAACACTACATAAAATGGCTGGGGCATAATAATATTGCTTACCTATATGAATACATAAAATTGTCCGAAAAGGTACAAAGGCTTGTTATTAAGATGTTTTAATGAGTAAATCACTGCTTTATTATTATGAATGCATAAAATTGTCCCAAATAAGGCATAAACCCTTCAGTAGTTATGGAGATACCAGCTTACAAGCAAAACCTTTACCAAGAATTTCTAAGCCAAAAAAGGGGCATAATTATGAAAAAAAAACAAATCAGAGTTTGACTTGTGCCAATCATGTGAGATCATCACAGAGAACAAGTGTGTGAAGTTTCAGTCCATTCCCTTCAGTAGTTATGGAGATACCAGCTTACACCAAGGATTTCTAAGTCGAACAAGAGCTGTTGGTAGGACAGCAACGCTCAATTATTCTTAGTGCTTGATAGTAAAAGACCCTTGACAATGTTAAATTTTCTGAGTTAACAAAAGGGCAAAAATTTTCTTTAAATCCATGATACAGTTATAGGCCTTGTTATGTACCCAGTTATGCTCTCAAAGAAGAGTATAAAATTTCAACTTGTTTCAAATCCAGATGTCAATAGAATATGAAAATATCTGAGGTGGTATGCAAACTTTAATCTAAATTCTAAGTTGAAAAAGGGGCATTTTTCTGTAAAAATGCTTCATAGAGTTACCTCCTCCTGTCTACATGTTTGGGTCATGAAGGTTAACAAGTGTGCAAAGTTTCAAAGCAAAATGTCAATGGACTTTGAAAATATTTGAGGTATTACAAAAACTTTATCATAAATTCTAAGTCGAAAAAGGGGCATAATTCTGTCAAAATGCTTTATACAGTTACCTCCTCCTGTCTACAGGTTGCAGTCATGATAGTGGACAAGTGTGCAAAGTTTCAAAGCCATATGTCAATGGACTTTGAAAATATTTGAGGTATTACAAAAACTTTAACATAAGTGGTTACGCCGATGCCGACATAGACGCCGACGCTAGGGTGACTATAAAAGCTCTACTTATTTTTATCAAATGGTCGAGCTAAAACGGGGTATAATTATGCAAACAAGAGGGCCATGATGGCCCTGAAGTCGCTCACCTGTATATAGGCCCCCGGAGCGGGGCCAGTTTAAACCCAAGGGCTTTTATTTGAACAAACTTGGTAGACACCCATTAGAAGATATTTCATGCTTAACATCTAAGGTCTAGCTGGTCAAGTTTTTTTCTTTACACATATAGTTAAAAATAATGACACACCTGGGGCAGGGCCAGTTTTGACCCAAGGGCTTTTATTTGAACAATCTTGTAGACACTTACTAGAAAATGTTTCATGCTTAATATCTAAACTCTAGCTATTCGGGGTTTTTCAAAGAAGATTTTTAAGTTTTTGCTATACACATAAAAGGAAAATCAATGTCAGCCGGGGCAGGGCCAATTTTGACCCCAGGGCTTTTATTTGAACCGGCTGGGCCAATTTTGACCCCAGGGCTTTTATTTGAACAAACTTTGTAGACACACACTAGAAGATGCTTCGTGCTTAATATCTAAACTCTAGCTACTTGAGTTTTTTCAAAGAAGATTTTTTAAAGTTTTTGTATAACACATATAAGGAAAAGGAATGCCCCCGGGGCGGGGCCTATTTTGACCCCAGGGCTTTTATTTGAACAAACTTGGTAGACACTCACTAGAAGATGTTTCATGCTTAGTATCTAAACTCTAGCTATTTGGTTTTTTTCACAGAAGATTTTTTAAGTTTTTGCTATACACATATAAGAAAAATCAATGACCCCCTGGGGCGGGGCCAATTTTGACCCCAGGGCTTTTATTTGAACAAACTTGGTAGACACCCATTAGAAGATGTTTCATGCTAATTATCTTAGCTCTAACTCTTTGGATTCTTTAAAAGAAATTTTTTTAAGTTTTTACTATATGCATATAGGGAAAATCAATGACCCCCCTGGGGCGGGGCCAATTTTGACCCCAGGGCTTTTATTTGAACAAACTTGGTAGACATCCATTAGAACATGTTTCATGCCAAATATCTAAGCTCTAGCTCTTTGGGTTTTTTAGAAGAAGATTTTTTAAGTTTTTACTATATGCATAAAGGGAAAATCAATGACCCCCTGGGGCGGGGCCAATTTTGACCCCAGGGCTTTTATTTGAACAAACTTGGTAGACATCCATTAGAACATGTTTCATGCCAAATATCTAAGCTCTAGCTCTTTGGGTTTTTTAGAAGAAGATTTTTTAAGTTTTTACTATATGCATTTAGGGAAAATCAATGACCCCCTGGGGCGGGGCCAATTTTGACCCCAGGGCTTTTATTTTAACAAACTTGGTAGACATCCATTGAGACATGTTTCATGCTTAATATCTCAGCTCTAGCTCTTTGGGTTTTTTAGAATAAGATTTTTTAAGTTTTTACTATATGCATATAGGGAAAATCAATGACCCCCTGGGGCGGGGCCAATTTTGACCCCAGGGCTTTTATTTGAACAATCTTGGTAGACACTCACTAGAAGATGTTTCATGCCAAATATCTAAGCTCTAGCTCTTTGGGTTTTTTAGAAGATGTTTAAAGTTTTTTCTTTTGGTTGCCATGGCAACCAGAGTTCTGCATGGAATGGAATTCTTTGAACAACTTTGTTAAGGCTTCACACAAGGAACATCCCTGTGAAGTTTCATTATGATCTGCCTTATGGTTTCAGAGGAGATGTCGTTTGAAAAGTGTGAACGGACAACGTACGACGGACGGCAGACGACGGACGAAGAGTGATCCTAATAGCTCACCCTGAGCATATGCTCAGGTGAGCTAAAAAGCAAATCAGAGTCAGGGGACTTGTGCCAATCATGTTAGATAATCATAGAGAACAAGTCTGTGAAGTTTCAATCAATTCCCTTCAGAAGTTATGGAGATGCCAGCTTACACGCAAAAACTTAACCAAGGATTTCTAAGTCGATAAAGGGGCATAATTATGCAAAAAAGCAAATCAGAGTTATGGGACTTGTGCCAATCATGTTAGATAATCATAGAGAACAAGTGTGTGAAGTTTCAATTCATTCCCTTCAATAGTTATGGAGATACTTGCTTACATTTAAAAACTTAACCAAAGGGACGCCGACAAATGGATGACTGCATCAGTTTGATTATTCTTGCAATAGTCGAGCTAAAAATGCCCTAGGAAGCAATTTAAGGTTCTTTGTGCCTCCCTTGTAGTCCTTTGTGCCCCTTAGCAGTCCTTAGTGGTCCTGTAGCTCAATCAAAAACATAATTATATTATCACCCAAATTATATTTTTTCTTAAAATAATACATTTTTTCTCACTAACCATACTCCAATATATTATGAAATTCATAATATATTGTAGTACATATTCAGAATATGCCCAAGGAAGAAATTTAAGGTCCTTTGTGCCTCCCTAGCAGTCCTTTGCGCAACTCATCAAAAGCATAAATTCTATCACCAAAATTATATTTTTTCTTAAAATTATACATTTTTTATCACTAGTATACATGTATACTATCCTCAACATCACTAATTTCGCGTCATCACTTATTTCACGGTAATGGCATATTTTCATGTGACCAGCGTTAAAATTAGTCAGAATTGACATATTTTATTCACCTAAACAACAAAGTTTTTGTGCAAAATATTTTAAATCTATAGATTTTTACGTAAAACAGAACAACATTTTACAAACTTCTGCAAAAAGCAACAATAGTCCGTTAAATTTGTGCATACTGGTTGGGGACCACCAAAACCGGAAAACCACCAAACCCGGACGGCCCTGAAAATGCTTAATTCAGTATTTTCTTTCTTCAGTGGTTGTCTGTCACTTTTTTATCAACAATAAATGTATGTTTCTTCTAAAATTAAGTAAATAAATTTATTTCAACCTCCGTAAAAGGTAATATTTTAATGTCTATTTCAAGAATGTTGACGTTGAAATTTGGGGTTCAAGAAAGCAATGCCTGACCTCATATACCAGCTATAATCATTTGAGTAAACAATAGAATATCCAAAACTTCAGCATTTGTTGCTGAAATATTGTATATCATGTTAAAAATCAACAAGAACTGTCGGAGGACAGTAACGCTCGACTATTCGAAAAGTTGTCACAAGTGTGTTTCATTGAGCATAATAATGCTTACCTATATGAATACATAAAATTGTCCGAAAAGGTACAAAGGCTTGTTATTAAGATGTTTTATCGAGTTAATCACTGCTTTATAAAATGCATAAAATTGTTCAAAAAAAGGCACAAACCCTTCAGTAGTTATGGAGATATTTGCTAAAACCAAGAATTTCTAAGTAGAAAAAGGGGCATAATTATGCAAAAAAGCAAATCAGAGTTATTGGACTTGTGCCAATCATGTTAGATAATCACAGAGAACAAGTGTGTGAAGTTTCAAGCCATTCCCTTCAGTAGTTATGGAGATACCAGCTTGCAAGCAAAAACTTATCCAAGAATTTCTAAGTCGAAAAAGGGGCATAATTATGCAAAAAAGCAAATCAGAGTTATTGGAAATAAATAGCGAATAAGGTGGAAACAAATATGTTCTAGAAAATAAATAAGCAATAATGTAATAATAAAAATAAGAAATGGGGAGGAACTGTCTGCTTATTTGCAAATATGCAGACGGTTCTCCCCCAAGATAGGGAGAGAGCCGTCAAGGAGGAAATGTCAGGGAAGGAACTGGTAAGGGAGAGAATAGTCCGACTACCGAAGAAATTTCGGTTAGCTAAACTGGATGGCCCAGTTAACTTACAAGTAGAGTGTCATGGGTAGAAAACATTCGCACCAAAATGTTGATACATGTTCTACTACACTCCTTACTGTTCATGTTTAACGGTTTAAATATTGTTCCCATCGCATCGGATTCACGGTGTGCCTAAAATACGTAAAATGGCGTATAGTAGCGTAAAGTAGCGTAAAGTGGCGTAAAGTAATACCAATAGAATAGACGGTCTCTAGTGGCGGTCTCTTAAATTTCCTTTACCCAATCAGCGATAATCAACAAAAAGACCTTGTAAGAGTTCCTCCATGTGGTGTTGCCTGGATACAGATGAAAATATATATTAAACATCTGTAACTGAATGCTCTTAAAACGATAATTATTACTGCGAGTCAGTAAATGTAATCTCCAACTGGACACTAAATTTCTTTGGGGCGCTTTGATAAAAATAAAAACCATGAAGACGTTCGGGACGCTATGTTAGTTAGTAAGCTCCTGGTGCCGCACAAGGGGGACAGGTTTTTAGCCCACGTTTTATGGAGCACAATTCACATCACCACTCGTCGCTGATGTCTGCACAGCGGATTTACAGACGAGTTCATCATAGAAGTAGAAGTACTTGAGATATGCATGGATAGATGTAAGGTTTCAGGTTTTATATAGATAAGGAAAAACTTTTTTCTCGTCAGTGTTTCTACATAACTATTTCTTTAACTAAACTGACAAAGTATTTCAAAATAATCTTGGTTTAGATAAACAATAAACCTTCCGGATGCTTTGTCGGAATACGGTGGTTTTTTGAGCAAGTAAACTGGAGTCGAAGGTATGTTAGTTTTTTTATATAAATAGAAAAAAATGTTAATTAAGATTATTTTTTTCTACAATAAATACCTCAATAAGTAATAATATAGCTCATTTACAATAAATATCACCCTTCTGACTGTTTAAATTAAAAATAATGCTTCGGGACGATTCAGGACGTTTCGGGACACTAAATTCCTTCTGCAACATGGGAAACGTCAGTTTTCGTGCTGTATAATAATATTGTGTAGATGAAAAGTTTATTTCCTTCTTTATGTCACTTATACATATCATAAAATAACTTATTTTGTGGATGAAAAGTTTATTTCCTTCGATCTTTATGTTACTTATACTTATACATATCATAAAAGACCTTAATTACGATTTATCTTTGCTTAGATAAAAACGGTATACAGTACAGTGGTTTTTGAGCAAGTGAACTGGAGTCGAAGGTATGTTAGTTTTTATTATATAAATAGAAAAAATGTTGTTGTTTTTTTACCATAAATACCTCAATACATAATAATATAGCTCTTTTACAATAAATATAACCCCGCTGACTGTTTAACTTCGGGACGCTTCGGGACGCTAAATTTCTTTGGGACGCTTTTTAGTGAGAGCCCTTAAAATTGATGCTCTTCAAAAGTGAGATTTTGCGGTAAATTTATCAAGAAAATATTTAAAGAAATAAAGCGAATTATAGATTTATAAAACAAAAATAAGTAATATTTTAATGGCACATACTTAAAATGATGTATACTGATTAAATTGCAATCAAGTTTATATACATGCTATATTTAATTAAGTTAGACGAATTGATTTAGGTACGAACATATTTAGAAATGAGAGGACCGAAATGTTGCGAAAAAGTATGTAAATACGACGAATCGAGCTGCTGTTAGACCGGAGTGATAAATAGAAGAAATTAATTAACTAATTAATAAAAGGTATTAGATATTATGGAATGCCGGTAGGGACATGCCAATTTGCTTATTTGCCAATTGCTGAATTGCTTATTTGCTGATTGCCGATTTGCTTATTTGCCAATGGCTGATAGGCTTAACGACAAATTTGCTTATTTGCCAATTGCTGAATTGCTAATTTGCTTATTTGTTAACCGCTGGTTTACGTATTTGCTTATTTGCCAATTGCTAATTTGCTTTTTTGCAATAGAAATACTTTACACTGTGCCGGAAATATATGGAAAATCTGACTACAGACAACCAGTTGAGTCAGATCTGTTAACTTTTACCAACAGTATTCTTGTAAATTCAGTGTTTTTCCAAGAATACTGTTGGTCAATGAATTTAGTTGCAGTGATGCCTACGCAGATATATGTCTACAACTGATGGCTGACATGTCCTTGAGAACACAGACGCTTGGGGGTCGGATCCTGTACCCCAACGTGATACGTGCCCCTGTTAACACTCTATCTAAAATATTTTAATATTTTAACACGAATTGGACATCGTTAAAACTGGTTTTCAAGCAATTTTTACATAATTTATACCGGTATGAAAAAATACCATATACCACCAAGTCTCAATAAAGTACTTAATGGTTTTATCGTTGTAACAAATGTCCAATTCGTATTTAAATAAATATTAAAATAGATTTGATATAGTGTTTACAGACGCGTATCACGTTAGGGGCAGGGTCTGACCCGCCAGCATCTGTGCTTGAGGATGCCTTATAATGTGTTGCAGCTATAGATCTGTTTGTGCAGCTTAAGTCAGAGATTGATGGCATAATAAACACTTGATTAGTCATATATAAGTGAAATTTATTGGGGAAAGATTGAAAATAAAAATAACTTGAAAACAAAACTATTTCTTATTTTATGGCATATAAAATGTCGTTATTCTCAGCAGATTTGTCACAGAGGGCCTCATTGTAGTGGTACAAACACATAGTATCACGAATGATACATTTGGTGCATGCTTAACACGGGTGATTGTCTTTGCACTTAAGCAATAGGCTGCGTTTTTAGCTCTGTGAGATTTTGAGATCACTTATGTCTGTGTGTGCATCAACATTTTGCTTTGGTTCAATGTTTTTGAAATTTGGTCACACTTTTCCATTTCTTCATGTTGTACATTTTACATGCTATCAGGTGACCATGACCATGATCATGACCTAGGGTATAATGGACAAAGCCTCTTTGAATATTGTGTATGCATGCTGCCTATTTAATGCTTATTTGAAGTTACAGTTAGATATAAGCAATAGTAACAGAGATATGACAGAAAAACAAAGGCTTCTCAGTACAATACATTGGTGACCTTGACATTAAGTATATAACGGGCACAGCTTCTTCATGTACCTTGTATGCATGCTTGTAACGCAAAGTTTATGCAAAGTTGCAGTAAGATGCATGAATCGGCAAAAGTAACAGAGATATGACAGAAAAACAAGTTACCAAGAAAACCAATGCATTGGTGGGTAGAATAGCATCCCTATTCTCTGAATAGTGGAGCTAAAACTGAAACTCAAGATAATTAAAAAAACAACTGCTTTCTGAAACTGAATTTATTTTTTTCGAAATTGATTAAAATGTATCCATCTGTCTTTCTACCTATATTCTAGGTAATGATGGATTGATAATAATTGTCACAAATTATAATTAACAAAACTTTATAAACATAATAACATGATATAGGTTCATGAGCTTGAAATAAAGTCTACAAAGACTTGTTATTTTATATCAAACAAGAACTTCGCGATTCGGACGTGTCGCCTGACAATAGCATAAAAATTTATGTATATAAGCAAATAAGCAATTAGCAAATAAGCAAATCAGCAAATTGGCAAATCAGCAATTAGCAAATAAGCAATTAAGTAGTTGGCAAATAAGCAAAGTGGCATGTCCCTACCGGCATTCCATAAGATATACTTGGACTTTGGAATGATAGAGACAGAGACATAATTTAAGGAATTCTTGTACAGCGATAATACTTGGCTTACATAGATTCGAACAGAAATGTTAAAACTCCAAATAAAAAGATAAAAGAAACTGCATATAAGACCTATGTTAGACCTCAGGTTGAATATTGCTCCATAGTTTGGCATCCTTGGCAGAAATACTTAATTTATAAGATAGAGCAAGTACAAAGATCAGCTGCTAGATACATTTTTAATGATTATGACTATACAAGTAGTGTCTCAAAAATGATAAATGATCTTAATTGGCAAACCCTTGAACAGCGTCGAAACATCAGTGCTGTAACCTACTTGTATAAAATCCAAAACAACATTGTTTTTGTAGACCACCAACACCTTACTCAAACAAGAAATCTGAACTACCTGATACCCTACTCGAGGACACAATATCATCAAAATTCTTTCTTTCCTAGGAGCATACGTCTTTGGAATAGCCTTCCCCTAACAGTTCAGTCTAGCCCCAGTTTAAACATCTTTACTGAGAGGCTTGACCCATTCTATAAATTCTAAACTGCACACTATGTTTTTAAATTAATAGTCTTGTAGAACTTTTATTCTTTTAACTTTTTAATTTGCACATAAATAAATTCTTTTATTAACAGTTCCCTGACAACGCGCCTGCTAGTCATAATCATAATTGATTGTTAAGCAGTATGATGTAGATGTAGATGTAGATAAACTAAATTTCTAACCGACCATGACTTAATTAATGTCACTTATGCCAATTTGCGGCTATATCCTGGAATAGACCCGGGGTCTAAACCAGGAGTATATATAAGGTTCATTCCGTTTTCTTTAGTGTATTATATACAGGTTTTACTTCTGAAATATACATAGGGGTCTAATCCAGGAGATTGCCACAGCTTGATATTAAGTTCTAAGAGATTCCGTATATATCTGTTACAAACATTTCTTTTTATGAGTGCCGTAAAATTCTTCATTTTAAAAAAAATAACTTTTATCTGGGACATACGATAACTGCATGTACCGTGATGACGGCGTTTAAACACGGCGCTTATCGATCGATCGATTCCAATTGGACACCAACATTGGCACTGATAAGAAAGCGCAAGTCGCTTGTCCCGTTATCGTATGCCCCAGCTTTTATATCAAAGAAGTATGTAATTAATTGCAATTTCTAATTATCTTACTTTGTGTGTAACTGTATGTAAAGGACAGGTTAATGTAACTTTGATGTGGAGGTCCGTACTCTCAATTATCATAATTGTATACAATTTGATTAAATCATCACCTTTAATAGGTGGGTGTGCTGCCATAATATACAAGGTATTTAATCAACATGGATTAGCATATGTGATAAACAACACAACAACTACTGTCCTCCACTGATGACCACATTGCTTTTCGGTACACATACTATGGTCAAAATAAAGACATAACTGAACGTAAATTTATAAGTTTTTCTTTATTTTACATAATAGTAATACAAAAATGTAATAACAAAAAATATGGTTCCATGCTTTGAATTACTTTTGGTACTTTTTATATATACATCATCTTCCTGTCTTTCACATGACCTATAATTTATAAAATATTAGAAATATGATACAATGATATATGGTATGAGCAAGATTGAAATATCGTGTAACTAATCATAATATTTTTAAAAAAATCAAGTTCAAATACTGTTTTTAACTTAATAAATCAATTGATAACACTTTCACATAAATAATATGAAGGATTCGTGTATTATATAAATATTCGAGTGCTATTTGGTAAAGTAGATGTACCTTAGCAGGACTGGAAAGCAATCAATATTTCTATAAACTTTGAAAATCGCATAAATAATAATGTTTCACCGATTTTGACCTAATAAATCGATTTGAAACACTTTCAAACCATTTAAATAAGGTTTTCATGTATTACCGGTACTTAGAGGAACCATATTGCTATTCGGTAATGTACGTGTATCTTAGCAGGACCGGAAAGCACTCGATATATCTATTTTCCTAAATACTCATAATAATAATCATAATATATTTATTAAAACCTGTTGTCTGAAAGATTTTGACCTATTAAATTGATTGGAAACACTTTGTAAGAGAAATGTTTACTTTTCAGAGATATTTATGAATTGGCTAGAGGTTATGAGCTCTAGTTTGGGAAACAATTTGAGCTTATTATAAGGACATTATGATTCACACCATGTATATAAATTAATGATGACTTTAAATGGTAAATGTAAAATGTTCTCTTTTATGCTTTAAGAACTTTATAATACTAAATTGAAAAGATATTATTTAAGAAAAATTTGTTCCTGCATTTCAAAGTTTAATACAGCTGTGTAATACATTTAATACCTCATTTTTTGTCAATAAAAATTCTTTTATTTTTTAATCAATTATTGCACTATTGCCTTGGTATCTTAACACATCTGCACATTGTCATTCATTTGACATACTAAAATAAGACCTTGACCCCAAATTCACTAAACACTACTGCATTATCTGCAGTACTGCACTACTGCAGTAAAGAAACAAAAAGAAAACTTCTGTTATATTAATGCAGTGGCATTGCATTTTTTCACAAATGCAATCTTGTTTTTTATTTTGAATTTCAGCAGAGTTGAACAAATGGCAGAATCTGATTCACAAAGCCTACATGCTGACAATGTTACGGATGATTGTGAAACAAGATTTGGGGGTGCTCAGCTTGGTAATCCACAGACAAATTACACAGAGGAACAAAAAGAAACATTAGAAAATGGAATGAAAGAGAAGAAGCCCCCTGTAATTTTTACTCTTATCATAGTTTGACAGTTATTTATTTTGTCTCTCTCTCCTCTTCCTTGTGCGTATATAGATGCTTTTCACATAGCAATTATTACCTCCACTGGCTGCCATTTTAAGGGTAATGCCCTCAGGTACGTTCAGAGCTACAGTTAAACTTAGTTGCACAAACTCCGATTGCTCAAATACATACTCATCGCCCAGTCCAAACAAACTTCCAATATAATATATATTGTTCTACCTCGAACACCGATTGCTCGAATTCTGGAACCTGATTTGTGGTCAATTTGGCAGAAATATAGTGAAAAATCACACTTTCTAGGTCAAACACAAAAAGACTAAAGTAACTGTTGCGGGTTGACAATTGTTCTGAATTAGTGACAGCCGGCAACACATGATTCTGATAAAGGCAATTAAGGTTTATTGACACAAAATCAAATGTGTTGTAAATGATTTGTTTTATTGTGATAATATTGTTTATTTGCTGTCTTTAGTAATGATAAAAAGAAAATAACTCAATAAATATCAATTCAGTTCAATAATTTCATAAGTAGTGAAATGTGCAAAGGTCATTAAATGATGTTTACCCGTACGGCTTCAGATATGTAACGTTTATTGTAACTGTGTTATCTATTTATAGAATGATACTTGTAGTTGTGTTTATTTTAGTTAATGATTACAAATAGATGCTGCTGTGAAATGATTTTCTTTTTTTGGAAATTTTATAAGTTGTTTAAAATGAAATTTATCCCATAATAAACATATACTGTAAAATCCTGATTTAATGTCCCTGTGGGTGTAGTCGAAATATCAACGCGATCAGAGCTACGCCCTGCTCTTTTGACCATGTCAAAAATTATCTAAAAATCCCGTAGGTTAAAATATTTTGACTACTGGGGGTGTTACATTTTTCAAAAGGGGGGACGTTTAATAAAGATAAAAAAAATGTTTAAAAAAAAATCTCTATTCAAATGATGTAAAAAAATCCACGAACACATCATCACCCTGTCAACCCATGACACCTTTGATCTACACCGCAAGCTCTCTAAATTTCCTCCCAAAAATTCCCCCAGATCCTGCTTGCAGTTGACACCTTTGATCTTGCCGACAGTCTGACGTAATCAATGCTACTTTCCTAATTTACATGAGTCCCGCTTCCAGATCTGTGTAGTTGTCCAGGTGCAAAGCTATATTGATAGTGTGTATTGTAAATATGTTTACCGTTTTGTGTTTTTTAACATTTTCTGTTTTCAAGTAGACTACACTCTGTTTTAGTGAACATTGAAGTGTTTAAGTTTTGATTCACGGATATTTTTTATAAATGGAATGATATTGGATATACCATAAATCACCGAACTAGTAAGAGAGTTTATTTATTTTCTTTGTTTAAATTATACATGGGTGGGGGCGTTAATTTTGGGTGGGGGCGTTAAATAAGGATTTTACGGTAAATATATTTTGAACATTGTTCAACAAGTTTGGAAAATGTTTGCCCAATCAAACTCAATTACAATATGCATTAATATAGATCAACACAGTGAACCGTTAATACTCATTTGTTATACCCCTGAAACGAAGTTTGGGGGGTATATAGGAGTCACCCGGTGCACGATCGGTCCTTTGCATATTCTTTGTCCTGAGCATAACTTGAAGACAAATGGTTTGAATTCAATACAACTTCATACAATGGTCAAGCAAATTGAGAGGAAGAACAGTGCACAAGAACCATAACTCCATCTTGACTAATTACAGAATTATTGCCCTTTGTTACTTTTTTTTTTGAAAGCTACTTTTTGGAATTCAAAACAACTTCATACAATGGTCAAGCACAATAAGAGGAAGTGCAGTGCACAATAACCATAACTCTATCTAAAGTAATTACAGAGTTATTGACCTTTGTTACTTTTCCATTGCTTTTTTCTTGTCCGGAGCATAACTTGAAAACCACTAGTTGCAATTCAATTGAAAACTACTAGTTGCAATTCAATACAACTTCATACAATGGCCAATCACATTGAGAGGAAGTGCAGTGCACAAGAACCAAAACTCTATCTAAAGTAATTATCGAGTTATTGTCCTTTGTTACTTTTCAGTTCCATTTTGCTTGTCTGGAGCATAACTTGGAAACCACTAGTTACAATTCAATACCACTTCATACAGTGGTCAAGCATATTGTGAGAAAGTGCTGTGTACAAGAACCATTACTCCATCTTGACTAATTATAGAGTTATTGCCCTTCATTACTTTTTCTTGTCCTGACCATAACTTGAAAACTACTGTTTGGAATTCAGTGCAACTTCATACAGTGGTCAAGCACAATAAGAGAAAGTGCAATGCACAAGAACCGTAACTCTATCCAGAGTAATTATAGAGTGATTGCCCTTTGGTACTTTTCCTTGTCGCAGAGCATTATATGAAATAACTGGCGGATTTCAATACAAGTTCATACAATGGTCAAGTATATGGAGAGGAAGTGCAGTGCACAGGAACCATAAGTCTTTCTTGACTAGTTATTGCCCTTTGTTACTTTTTATTGTCCAGCACATAACTTGAAAATTAATAGTTGTAATTCAATGCAACTTCATACAATGTTCAAGCACAGTGAAATGAAGTGCTGTGCTCAAGAACTATATCTCTATTTGGCCAAATTATATAGTAATTGCCCTTTGTTACTTTTTATTGTCCAGTGCATTCCTGGAAAAAAAATGGTTGGAATTCAATGCAACTTCATACAATGGTCAAGCGCAGTAAGATGAAGTGCAGTGCATAAGAACTATAACTCTATTTGGACTAATTACATAGTTATTGCCCTTTGTTACTTTTCTTGTCTAGTGCATAACTTGAAAACTAGTTGTTGGAATTCATTACAACTTCATACAATTGTCAAGCGCAATGAGAGGAAGTTCATTGTACAATAACCATAACTCCATCTTTAGTATTTGCAGAGTTATTGCCCTTTGTTCCTTTTCCTTGTCTGGTGCATAACTCAATCAAAGCACACAAGGCGCTGAATTTGTTTGTGTCTCAGAATGTCAGAAAGGTGAAGGTTGATAGATTATTAACCAATTTGTTTTTGTATACTGCCAGCAATGCTGTTTCCAGTGTTATAACTGTAGTAAATTGGCTATAAGGCTAATTGCAACACTGATATTCAATTTACCCCAAAGAGCTAGAGCTTAGATATTTATCATGCAACATCTTCTAATGGCTGTCTACCAAATTTGTTCAAATAAAAGCCCCTGGTTTAAAATTGGCCTTGGCCCAGGGGCCTATATACAGGTGAGCCGATTTCAGGGCCATCATGGCCCTCTTGTTCATTATGAAGTCCCACTCTTTTTATCCCCCGCCGAAAATTTTCGGCGGAGGATATAGAAATAGTCTCCGTCCGTCCGTCCGTCCGTCCTTCCGTCCGACATTTTTGTCCGGAGCATATCTCTAAAAGTATTTGAGTTATCAACTTGAAACTTCATAGGTGGATAGACCTCATTGAGGAGGAGTGCAGTGCACAAGAATGATAACTCTACCTTGCATGATTTTTGAGTTATTGCCCTTTGTTATTTTTCAAAATTGATTTTTGTCCAGAGCATAACTCCAAAAGCCTATGAGATATTAACATGAAACTTCATAGGTGCATAGATCTCACTCAGGAGGTGTGCAGTGCACAAGAATGATAACTCTACCTTTCATAATTTTTGAGTTATTGCCCTTTGTTATTTTTATCCCCCGCCGAAAATTTTCGGCGGAGGATATAGAAATAGTCTCTGTCCGTCCGTCCGTCCGTCCGTCCTTCCGTCCGACATTTTTGTCCGGAGCATATCTCTAAAAGTATTTGAGTTATCAACTTGAAACTTCATAGGTGGATAGACCTCATTGAGGAGGAGTGCAGTGCACAAGAATGATAACTCTACCTTGCATGATTTTTGAGTTATTGCCCTTTGTTATTTTTCAAAATTGATTTTTGTCCAGAGCATAACTCCAAAAGCCTATGAGATATTAACATGAAACTTCATAGGTGCATAGATCTCACTCAGGAGGTGTGCAGTGCACAAGAATGATAACTCTACCTTTCATAATTTTTGAGTTATTGCCCTTTGTTATTTTTCATACCTAATTTTTCACCTGAGTGGAGCACAATTCAAAAAGTGTTTGAGATATCAACATGAAATGTCATAGAAGGATAGATCTTATTGAGGAGGAATGTTGTGCGCAAGAATGATAATTCTTCCCTATACAATTTTTTGAGTTATTGCCCTTTGTTGTTTTTTTTTCATGCTATTTTTTTCCAGAGCTTATCTCAAAAAGTATTTGAGGTATCAACTTGAAACTTCATAGGTGGATGATCTCATTTGAGGAGGAGTGCAGTGCTAAAGAATGATAACTCTACCCTGCATTATTTTTGAGTTATTGCCCTTTGTTATTTTTTCAAAATTAATTTTTGTCCAGAGCATAACTCAAAAAGCCTTTGAGATATCAAAATGAAACTTCATAGGTGCATAGATCTCACTCAGGAGGTGTGCACTGCACAAGAATGATAACTATACTTTTTATAATTTTTGAGTTATTGCCCTTTGTTATTTTTCATACTTAATTTTTCAATTCAATTTTTTTTCTCAAAAAGTGTTTGAGGTATCAACTTGAAACTTCATAGGTGGATAGATTTTACTGAGGAGGGATGCAGCACACAAGAATGATAACCTACCCTGCATTATTTTTCAGTTATTGCCCTTTGTTATTTTCAGCCATCAGTATTCACATAGGTTTCAAATCTGTAATCACTATAGCCATCAGTTTTCATTACCAAAAGACCTCTTAAAATGGAATTATTCTGCCTACTACATATACATTCTTCCAATGAGCAAAACACATTCGGCGGGGGATGGCCATGTTGACATGGCTCTTGTTCATACCTAATTTTTCACCTGAGTGGAGCATAACTCAAAAAGTGTTTGAGATATCAACATGAAATGTCATAGGTGGATAGATCTTATTGAGGAGGAATGTTGTGCGCAAGAATGATATAACTCTTCCTATACAATTTTTGAGTTATTGCCCTTTTTTTTTTTCATGCTATTTTGTCCAGAGCTTATCTCAAAAAGTATTTGAGGGTATCAACTTGAAACTTCAAAGGTGGATGGATCTCATTGAGGAGGAGTGCAGTGCTTAAGAATGATAACTCTACCCTGCATTATTTTTTGAGTTATTGCCCTTTGTTATTTTTCAAAATTAATTTTGTCCAGAGCATAAATCAAAAAGCCTTTGAGATATCAAATGAAACTTCATAGGTGCATAGATCTCACTCAGGAGGTGTGCACTGCACAAGGATGATAACTCTACTTTTATAATTTTTTGAGTTATTGCCCTTTGTTATTTTTCATACTTAATTTTTCAATTCAATTTTTTCTCAAAAAGTATTTGAGGTATCAACTTGAAACTTCATAGGTGGATAGATTTTACTGAGGAGGAATGCAGCACACAAGAATGATAACCTACTCTGCATTATTTTTCAGTTATTGCCCTTTATTATTTTCAGCCATCAGTATTCACATAGGTTTCAAATCTGTAATCACTATAGCCATCAGTTTTCATTACCAAAAGACCTCTTAAAATGGAGTTATTCTGCTCTACTACATATACATTCTTCCAATGAGCAAACACATTCGGCGGGGGATGGCCATGTTGACATGGCTCTTTTTATAAATAGAAACCACAGACCTTAATTGTCATTTAAGGTCCATGATCAAATGTAACAGGTAATTTCAGATTTATATATTTATAGAAATTTTCTTAGGCTTCATGAGTTATTTATCTTTCATGCGAAGTAATATAAATTATATAACTAAAAAGAAATTGAAAGGAAATTATGGAAAAATGTGAACTTATTTTGACTCACTATATACCTAAGGGTGAGCATAGTGCCACTTAAACATTTAGTTTTTATCTTCCTCTTTTGCAAAAATAGTATGTAATTTCTTAAACATAAGCCAAACCCAGCGTCCCCATACTCCCAAGGACAAAATTTTATTGTTCTGGCCCTGTATGTAACAACATAGTAAGACTATTCAAATGATATTATCTCCCTTAACAATTCTTACCCTATTTTATAGACTGCATAATATGTGTGCACTGTTCCAGCCATAGAATAGCTGGGGCATATAGTGTTACTCGGTTCTGTCATTCCGTCATCATCATTCCGTTATCATCAGTTTCCATTCATTATATTGGCAACAGATGTACACATTCAACTCAAATTTGACATATTATGGATATATCATAGAAAAAAATGCAAGTCAAGTTCGAATTTAGTTATGGTCCGATGATTTTTGATAGAGTTGTGCCCCTTGAAGAAATTTTCAGTTTCCTTTCACTATCACCAACAGTTGTACACATTCATTTAAAATTTCACATATGGATATGTGAAAGGAATACACAGGACAAGTTCGAATTTGGTCATAGTTCGATGATTTTTGACACAGTTATCCCTTTTGAACTTTGAAAAAAAAAGAATTTTTCAGTTTCCATTCACTATCTCCCCAACAGTTGTACACATTTGACTGAAATTTGACATATTGATACATCATAGAAATAAGCAGGTCAGGTTTGAAGTTAGTCATGATTCAATGATTTTGGACAAAGTTATCGGAAATTTTTTGAAATTTTCAGTTTCTGCACTCTTACTTTTGTGGAAATGTATGAAGGTCACTGTAAAGGTTGAGATTGTATGTGTAGGTATTTAACCAGAAAATACAGGTCACGTTTGAATTTTGTTTTGGTCCAATAATTTTTGACAGTTATCCTTGAACTTAGAAAAAAAATAGAAAAAAATCAGTTTCTGCTGAATGTAACATTCCTACATTCAGCAGAAACACATTGCCAGAAAGTAGTGAAGTTCTAATTTGGCCATGGTCAGATGTTTTTTGACAGTTATCCCCCTTGAACTTGGTAAAGATTTAAAAATTCACAATTTCTAATCATCATCGTGGCTACAAATATGCAATATGCAGTTTGCAAAAGGTTTACACTGAATAGTTTCAGAGCCTTGAGCTTTGTATAAAAATAGTTTGTGTTAACTTTGAATACTGTGTTTAAGGGCCTTGAACTTGGAATGAAAAAACAAATTTGAAACTAAATATTATTAAAACATTTGAAATTTTGGCTGCATGCAGGGGCATTCGTGGCGTTGCGACACATTTCTAGTTTTAAATGCCCCTGATTCTAGAGGATGTTATTACTATCTTATAAAATAATTTATGTGTGATGAAAAAAGGAACAAATCAAATTTAAAATATTGCAAGGTTTGTCACTTGTTTTAAATAAAAAAAAGACTGGAGACTGGTGAACTTTTTAGCTATTTGAAGAAAAGTGGTGCTGTTCTTCTCTTCAATAAATCTATGAATGGTTTCTGATAATGATATATCATCAGTATGCTTTAGATATGACTCTATGTGAGCAGAGATCAAAACAGCAAAGATATGAAAAATTGCAATGATTTTTGTATGTTTGGAACAAAATTGAAAAAAATGTGTTTGTTTGAATTTCACAACTTCAACATTTTTCAAGGACATAGCAATAGATCTAACTAATAATATTACGTTTTGTATTTTGTTTTTTTACAGAGATCTGAAAGAAAGAGAAGAAGGCATGATGAACTTTTGTTGAAAAGAAGGGAAGATAGAAAGAGAAAAAAAACTGAACGAAAGAACAAACTGAAAGAACAGAGGAAAGATTCTTGTGATACTGGAGGTAGGATATAGATGCTAAAGCCAAGCATGTCACATTAGCTTTGGTCATTGAAGCAAGGTTGTCCAATTAGCCATGGTCATTGAGGCATAGCCTGCCTCATTAGTTCTGGATATTGAGGCATAGCTTGCCTCTTTAGCTGCGTTCATAAAGGAATAGTCTGCCACATTAGCTGTTGTAATTGAGGCATAGCTTGTCTCATAAGGTCTGGATATTGAGGCTGAGCTAGGGCTGTCATTGAATACCCCAATTTCGATATATCATCAATATTCATCATCCGATACAATATCGATACACACTTACACATACCAATTCAAGCTAAAAATATTCATTTTCAAAAGGTCAAACTTGCTGGTGGTGGTATTAATCACCTTCAGTGATAGGTCAAGTTTTCTCTGATTGTCTGTAACTTGGAAATGAATCAATGGATTATCTTCATACTTGGACAAAACAACCTCATGAAACTTTACAGAAATGTTGATCAGCATTTGAAGTTGTGCACCTGGGGTTTTACATGTTGACTTATTCTGTTTTGTTAAAGTTATTACCCTTGACTTAGTAAAAATTTGCAATTTTCAACTTGTGGTGCACATAGTGTTCTCTTAAAGGTAATTGTCTTGTTGAAAGGTTTGTTATCTACTGAGCATAAACAGTTCTTCTGTTTCTGAGTTTATAGCCTGTTTGGCCTATGTAAAATTTCTTGCTGCTGTTGCATACTATAGATATAACATTTTCAACAATACAATCCATATTTTACTTGATATGAAATATTTTATCCTTAAGCTTTAAAGAAGACCCATTTATTAAATATATAACACACAAATGTTGTTATTACTACGCGTCTTATCATGGTATGAGAAATTTGGTTGCAAATCATTAAATTAGTTAGGCATAGACTTTGTTCTTTATGCCCCCCTTGGAAGAAGAGGGGATATATTGTTTTGCTAATGTCTGTCGGACGGACGGACAGTCTGTCGGTCCGTCGGTAGACTACATGGTTTCCTCTGATTTTTTTAAAAACTAATTATCACAAAGTCTTCATATTTCACATACTGATTGGTCATATCTAGTTGATTACCCCTATCAGTTAATGGGTCACTTGGTCAAAGGTCAAGGTCTTAGGGGCCTTAAATGTCAGAATGGTTTCCACTTTTCCAATCTTCATATTTCACGTACTGATTGGTCATAACTAGTAGATGAACTTGGGGTCACTAGGCCAAAGGTCAAGGTCACAGGGACCTTAAATATCAGAATGGTTATTATCTTGAAAACTATAATGATGGCAAACTCGTCATATGTCACGTATTTATTGGTCATATTTATTATCAAGTCTTAGTGTTTCACATTTTGATTGATCATTACTAGTAGATGACCCCTTTTGATTTTGAGGTCAGTAGGTCAAAGGTCAAGGTCACAATAATCTTGAATGTTAAAATGGTTTCCGCCTATTCTTGTGACACCAATTAGTTACCAAGTCTTCATATTTCACATATTGTTTGGTTATAACTAAACACTTCCATGTACCCATTTATAATAAAATTACCAACAGTATGAGTCAAGGGCTAGAAAGGGGAGCATTTGTGTTGTTTAACATTTCTTGTTTTATTATAATTGATTTTTTTCTGGCACTTATTTTTACTTCTATGTAAGTATAACAATTTACATTTATGAAATATATATGCATAATTATGTAGTTATTCCACTGTGACAAGGAAATTTGAAGTTATGGACACATCTCTAGTTTCATAATATTCCTGGACCTATCTTGACACTTGTGTAACATGTTTAATTGATAAGATTTCACAGCCATTTTACCATAATATGTTACCCTTTTTTGTAAAAGTCTAATTGATGCAATATTCCTCAAAAATTGTAAAGTTTTAGTTTGCATAAAACTTAAGCAGTATTAATATAACATGGACTGAAATATAAATTTCATTTTGAAATGTATCTCATTAGAAAAAAAAAAGTTTATCTCGTCTTTTTTCTCTTTTTATAGAAAGAATAAATTTTGGTTATCTGAAAGAAGAGAGAAGGAAGAGATGTAAAGATGCAATGAACAACGGGCAGAAAATCTGTATAGACTGTAGTCTTGAAGGCTTTATGAGTATTAAGGTATTATCAATCTGTACTATTATCTATTCAAACATACAGATACTTATTTTATATATATGTACATATTTTGCTATATATAACTTAACAGAAGAAAATCATGCATTGTTAACAAGGTGTTGATATAATGGCATTACACTATGCCTGATATGATTTTAACTGTTGTAGGTTCAGACAATGGTTTCTTTCATCCAGCTAGCTTACAAAACATTGTAGGTTTTACTCGGGTGCCTGCTCATAACTGAAATAATCTGAGGTCTTCCTCCATTAGTAAAGCTTTTAAGTCAACATGTGACCTCTACTGTGTTGGTGCAATGTAGTAAAAACAAAAAATGAACTTCTATTATACTATAAAGGCTTTAGCTTAGATATTAAGTATGAAACATTGTCTGATGGACCTCTACAAAAATTATAGCCCCAGATCAAAATTGGCCCCACCCTGGGGGAACATACATTTTCCTTATATTTATATAGTACAAACTTTTTAAAAGAATGTCTTCTCTAAATCTGCAAGAGCTAAAGCTTAGTTTCCATAGCAACCAGTGACTTCATATCAGCCATTGACTTTTCATAGCAAACTAAAGTTTTAAAGCAACCAGTGACTTCCATAGCAAATATTAACTTTCCATAGCAACAACTGAATCTATCATTGAATTTCATAACAAGCACTGACTTTCAAGGAAACCATTTATTTTGTATAGCAACCAATGACTTCTTATGTAACTGTTATTTTCCCTTAGCAATAGTAACCAGTATTGTTTTTACATCTGCACTATTTCAGATACAAATATGAACTTTTTGATATCAGTTTATATTTTATATCTGCTTTGTTTATAGTTTACAATATTACTTGTTCCTTGCTTGCTCAGGGTGAGCTTTTAGGACCGTTGAATGTCCGTCGTCCATCCACATTTGTTTGTTAACACTCTAGCGGTCACATTTTTGCCTTTATCATCATCAAACTTTGTCAGGATGCTTGTCTAGGTAATTGCCCCAATGAGTTCGAACAAATACGTAAAAACCTTGTTAACACTCTAATGGTCACATTTTTGACATCAAACTTGGTCAGGAACAAATTCAACTCAAATGTCACTGTCAGATATGGATATGCCATATACATGTAAATGTGCAGGTCAAGTTCGAATTTGGTCACGGCTCGATGATTTTTGACAGATTTATGTTCCTGAACTTTGAAAGAAAATTTCAGTTTCCATTCATTATCTCCCCAACACTGTAGACTTTCAACTCAAATTTGACATATAGATACATCTTAGGAATAAGCACGCCAACTTTGAATTTGGTCATGGTTCGATGATTTTGGACAAAGTTATCTGTCTTGAATGTTGAAAAAAAACTTGAAATTTTCAGTTTGCACTCTTACTTTTGTGAAAATGTATGTTTTAAGTCATTTTCTTGGCTACAAATATGCAATATGCAATTTGCAAAAGGTTAACATGACCTTGATTTTTGTATAAAAATGGTTTGTGTTAACATTGAATAGTTGAATGGCTTTGAACTTAGAATGAAAAAAATAGTTTGTGCAAACTAATTTGGAACTAAATATTATTATATCATTTGAAATTTTGGCAGCATGCGGGGGCATCCATGGGTTGACGACACATTTCTAGTTCACTTATTTTGCAAGGTATTTTCTTTGTATCTTAATTACTAAAGACATCAAATGAATAATATTACCATTGCAAACAAATCAGTTACAACACCTCTAATTTTGCATCAATTAACCTTAATTACCTTTATGGCGATCATGAGGTTAAGTTTTGTTGTTTGACCTAGAAAGTGTAATTTTCACTATATTTCTTTCGAAGGGACCAGAGATCAGGTTCAAAAGTTTGAGCAATCCGTGTTAGAGCAATCCAAGGTAGAACAATATATATTATATATGAATTTTGCCAGGACTGGATGATGTGTTTGAGCCAAGGGAAGTATTAGAGTGATCTGAGTTAGACTGTAAGTTTAACTGTATATATATATGTTGTTTTCTTATTCTTACAGGAAAAAGGAAAGCTTGCTATGCAAATCGGGAGGTTGTATGGTTCAAACCTTAGAGCAAATAGTCCTGCTCATATTTACCTTACAGGATTGAAGAAAGGGGGAGATCTATACCAGGAATGCCTCAACAAAATGGATGGCTTTGAAAATTACTTGGTAATTTTGGGTTTCAATAGTAAATTTCTACATGTGAGGTATTAACTTGAAATATCAATGCAATATCACAATACAACCACAGTGTCAAGTTTGGTAACTCTGACAAGAAGTTTGACATGATTTTTAAATCCCCTAAAGAAATTGTTAGTGTATATTGTTATGCACCTGGTTATCCATCCATCTGTAAGCAGTTTTTCTGTCTGGTCACTATCTTTTGAATCAGTGGAAGGAAATTGAACCTACATGGCAGAAATGTAGGCCATAATGAAAAGATTTGCAGAGCACAGGTTTGACCTTCCTCAGGACAAGGTCACACTTTGTATGTAATTATACCCAGCAATTCGTGAAATTTGATTCACCCTGTGATGTCATCAAAATATAGGTGTTCACACCACTTTTTTTTCAAATTCTTAAGTAAATTTTAACAGCATAATGAATAATTTTTGTTCTTGATTGCAAATACAGTTGACCCTCGGTAACTCGAAATCCAAGGGTCTGGGCATTTTACTTCAAGAGAAACTGTATGTATGATAAATTATAACATCAATATTGAATATTTTAAAGTAATTAGGTCATCAAATGGACTGTAGGGTAAGCACATTTACACCTGTTCAATTACTATTTTGATTGGATAGAACTGTCAAATCGAGTGTCTGCTAAAACTTTTGAAGTTTTTGGATGGTGTATGTCCTTGCTGGAGTGTTTACACCAGACATTTATTAAGGTCACGAATCGATGGGAAGGCACGAATGGATGAGAATAAGGCATATATAGGAGTCAGCTAGTTGGTTGGTCGTGAGTCGGTCTGTCCACGACATGGTTTCCGGACGATAACTAGAGTTTGGGATGAGGTATTGTAATCAAACTTGGTATATAAAAACCTTATGTGGAGACCCCAGTTGGCATTGCATTTGGACCCCCTGGGGTCAAGGTCACTGTTACTAGAAATAGAAAAATGGTTTCTGGACAATAATTAGAGTTAGGAATGAGATATTGTAATCAAACTTGGTGTATAGCAAGCTAATATGAAGACCCCAGTTGGTATGGCATTTGGACCTCCTGGGGTCAAGATCATCATCACTAAAATTAGAGAAATGGTTTCCAGACAATAACTAGAGTTAGGAATGAGATATTATAATAAAACTTTGTGTATAGCAATCTTATATAAAGACCGTGGTTGGGTTTTTAATTAATTGAAATAATTCTTTGTACACAGTTGATACTTCATTTACTATAGGTTGAGTTAAATTTTTTAGCTCAACTGTACGAAGTATATGGAGAGCCAGCGTCTGCGTCCACGTCCAGATTAAAGTTTTGGTGCAGTAAAAAATTTTTCACTATAACTTTTTCATTTCTTAAGGTATCAACTTCAAATATATGTTCCTTGTCATCAACCACATCATATGTGACAAAGTTCATAACTCTAGCACCAATATTTTCAGATTTATCTCCCCTTGAACATAGAATTTTCCGTAAAAAATACCATTTTTTACTGTTACTTCTTTATTTCTTAAGGGATCAACTTCATACTTCATTTATATGTTCCTTATCATGAACCACATCTTATGTGACAAGGTTTATATCTTTGGTGCCACTATTTTCAGATTTTTTTCCCCCTTGAACTTTTCCTTAAAAAAATATGTTTTATTGTTACTTATTTATTTCTTAAGGGATCAACTTCATACTTCAAATATATGTTCCTTATCATCAAACATATCTTATGTGACAAGGTTCATAACTCTAGCACCAATATTGCAAGAATTATCTCCCCATAAACTTAGATTTTTTTTACTTGAAAAATGTTTTTTACTCTAACTTCTTTAGTTTTAAAGGTATCTTATTTGTAACCTCAAACTTCAAATACTTATTCCTTATCATCAATTACATCTTATGTCACAAGGTTCATAACACTTGAAGCAATATTTCCAGATTTATCTTTCTTTGAACTTAGGATTTTCTTAAGAAATATGAAAGAAAAATCAATTATGTATAATTATGTATTAAGTTAAAGTAAAAAAAATAACATTTGTTTACGTAAATTCCAAGTTCAAGGGGGAATAATACTGGAAATAGTCAAGCTAGAGTTATGAACCTTGTCACACAACATGTGTATAATGATAAGAAATATATATTTGAAATTTGAAGTAGATACCTTAAAAAGTAAAAAAGTTATAATACAGAGTTTTGTCTTCCTTACTGTGTCCAGTATTTTATTAGTCGAACTTTGCTGTCTGATCCTGTGACAGCTCTTGTTCTTCATTTCAAAAAGTCAAAGTTGCTGGTGAGGGTATTTATCACCTTCAGTGATAGGCCTAGTTTTGTATAAATTTCAAAATTTCATGTCCGCTTTATTTATTTTGAACAGATAAAATAATTTAAAACTTCTTGTTAGAATTACTTATGGTATGCAGAACACAGGTTTGCACTTACGGAGATCAAAATTGACCCCGTCCTGGGGATAACTTGATTTATAAAGACTTATATAGGAAAACATATTCAAGTTTCACTGTGTGAAACTACAATGTGTAGGGCTTAGATATTTAGCAGTTAGCATTGCCTTATTGACCTTAACAAACTGATATGAATCATGCCCCGAGTTCAATATTGGGACCACCCCAGAGATCACTAGATTGATAGAAATCTGGAAATAAAGTGATCCCTCGGAAGAATTAATAACAACAAAATAACAAGAGAATTGAAGACTCGGTTTGATTGAGTCTGTACATGAGGGATAATGAATAAGTGCAACATCCCTCATGCCCGGCTTGAGCGGTACTCAATTCTCAACACTTAATAGTGCTGGCATCAATGATCCCGAAGGACCAGAACAATATAACAACACTGAAGTGAAGTACGGGGCAACTTTTTACAGCTGCCACACAGCACTTGACACCTGCTGTTGTGAAGCATAAAAATCTTATATGAAGACTTATGTAGTAAAAAAAACACATTTTGTGAAAATACAATGCCCACATCTAAGATATTTAGCATGTAACATCACTTTGTGGACCCACAAATAACTGGTATTAATCATGCCACTTTGGTCAATTTTGGCCCCACCCTAAGAGTCACTTAGTTAATATAGTTTTGTGAAGGAAAACACATTTAAGACTTTTGAGCTCAGTTTTTTTTCCAAAGGTAAAAAAAAAGAGTTATTGTTATAGTGGTAGCAGATTTGACATCCTAATAAATGTAAACATCAAAGATAATTATCTATAATACATAAACAAAAAATATCAGAAAAATGATGTGTTTGACATGAGTATTTAGTCAAAATGAATAACCTATTACATGCAGGGGTATCCTTGCAAGACTGTGACAAATTTAGCTGTTTTCTAAAATTGTAATTTCAATTTGAAAAATGTCTGTAGAATTTGAATTGAAATTTAAACATTTTTAGATTTATAATATTTCCTTTCCTTCAGGTAGATATAAAAGAGGAATCACACACAGAGCTATTTCCATTATGTCAGATTGTTTGTCTCAGTCCAGATTCTGACAGTCTTCTCACTGACCTTGATCCTGAAAAAGTCTATGTCATTGGAGGCTTGGTTGATGAAAACATTAAGGTAAGGCTGGAAGGAAGTTAATTTTTGCAACAGACGTGCCCTCAGGGGCATTCAGAGCAATGTCATCTACACATGGAATTGTGATGGCCTGATTCGAAAAGTGGCTCCAACCAATAACAGCTAAACAATTAGTACAAGATTTAATCATATCAAGCACACTCATGTTGATTATGTTGAAAGCGCAATATGTTATACTAAAATTCCTAATTTTAGCCCTAAAATTTCTTAAATATTGCCCTAAAATTTGCCCTAATTTTATGTTGGTAGATGATGGACAGCCTGTTATAACTTTGTTTTTCTACAAACAAGCACATGGTCACCTAGTAATATAGGAGCAGAACGTAATGTAATGATTTTTTAGCTCAGGGTGAGCTTTTACCTAGAGGTAATTGCTCGAATGGGTCATCTCGGATGAAAAACTAGGTCACAGGAGCTAAAAATAGAAAAATCTTTTTAACACTCTAGTGGCTACTGTTTTGATCCAGATATCCTGGAAATTGGTCTGAAAGTTTGTTTTGATGATTCGAATATATTCAAGTTCGAATATGGGTCACCTGGGGTCAAAAACTAAGTCACACCGCCCATATATGGAAAACCTTGTTAACACTGTAGTGGTCACATTTTTGACTCACCTGTCATGAAACTTGGTTAGACTGCTTGTCTAGGTAATTGTTTGGATGAGTTTGATGGGTCAGGTGAGCGATCTAGGGCCCTCTTGGTTCAAGTTGGTAAACTTTTCAATGTTTCTTCAAATAAACTTAACTTTTCGTAGGCAAAAACTGCTTCAAAATTTTACCGAATTACATTAAGGTAGTAAGAATTGTATTGACAACAGGCCACTGACTAGGGAAAGATTTTTGAAATATTATTTAAATATCAACAAAAAACATATAAGATGTAAAGATAAATTATTGGTGATTATTTTCCAGTCATTATTTATTTAAAACTTTAAGTGTCGACTTTATCTACTGTTGTGGGGTAAAAAGACCATGTTTGGTATACATCATTCAGGACCTTAAAGAAGTACCAATTTCCATTTTCATACATAATTTTTGTGGTGTAATGTAAAGTCTTTGAACTGAACTTTGTTTAGGTGGTTCAATATTTAAACCATACAGGAATATAATTAAGATATTGCAAAAATTATGTGATTAAGTGTCTCAGTTATCTCTCCAACCAGTAAATGGTATCTTCTTTAAACTTCAGACAATTTTCTTTGTTATACTTACATCATGTATGACAATGTTCATAAGTTTAGCATCTTAATTTCAAGAGTTTTCTCCTCATAAAGAATTTTGCTTTTAAAAATTAATATTTTGGTAACAACCAGGGATGTTTAAAGATTTACCTTCAGAGCGTCTTTCAGTCTGTCTTTTCCTAAAACCTGTTTTCATGAGATCACTTTTAAAGAACTTGGAACTTTTACAACAAATTTACTTAAAATAGAGAAAAGTTGAAACATCAGTTATACATATTCATCCTCAGAAAATTGAATCTTTTGATTATCTGTTGTAGGAAGATAATTTCCTTACTATGCAAAAACACTTAACACATTACTATGGTACAGACAAACTAAGAACTCAAAAGATTTAAGTTCATTCATTCATTTAATGGCATAATTGAATGGCCAATGGCCCTTCAGAATGTTGCTGGAGTTCTAACCGGTTGGGGACTTGAAGATTGCTTGCAGTGCTATGATAATTGTTGGTTTCTTATCTACATGTATTTCAGCAAAATATAACAGAGAGCAGAGCAATACAGGCTGGTATACAAACAGCTAGACTACCTATTGAAGATAATATGGTAAAACTAGTGCAACAGTCTCATTCCAAGGTGCTGGCTGTTAACCAAGGTAAATTAATATAATTGGTCGCTGGTAGAAACCAGCGACTGTATTTGTAACAGTTTAATAGTTTATCCATGGTAGGAGAAGGCCTTAAAATCTGAAAATAGCAAAATTAGTTATTGAACAATTTAAGACCACAATTATTTTTGAATAATCTTAAAAATTCAAACATATAATAACATGCTCAATGAAATAAAATATAGAAATATTGAAATCTTAAAAGAAACTTAAAAATTTCATAAAATTAATAATATTTCCCTATGGATAAGTCATTGAAAGGGACACTTCTTTTTTTGTAAGTGTCAAATGTTGCTTTTTTATGATAAATAAGTTATAAATGATATTTGAAATGACGCTGTTAAATCATTTAGTTGTTAATATCTTATGAGACCTATTTTATTATTTTTGTTTAATTATTAACAATTTCTCCATTCTTTTGTAAGAATCACGTGACTATCATTGGGCACATTACGTGGTAGTGCTATGAAATCTATTAATAGTAACACATTGCTGATAAGACATACAGATAAATTGTGAATGGTTAGCAAAAGATAAAATGCAAATCATAGTAATTTTGTATTAATAATAACAAAGTTATTTTTGATTTAACAGTTTAATATTTTATACACTGTATTGACAAGCTCGTCACAAGAATATTATTTTTTTTGTGTGTGTAAACAAACACAAACACTGCTGTTGTAAATTCTACAATTTACTATAGAGAATGAATCTCAATTTTGGAAAAGTCATATTGAAGTGTGTATTAATTGTATGTATGTATTTATTTATTTATTTATTGTATGTATGTATGTATGTATGCACATACATACAAATTCATACAATAAATACATACATACTTACATACATGGCAACCAAAAGGAATTATAAGAATAAATTGAAAATTAAATACATCTTCTTATAAAGACCCACAAGGCCTAGAGCATAGATATTTTGCATAAGGCATTGTCTTGTAGACCTCTACCAAGATTGTTTAAATTATAGCCCTGGGGTCAAAATTGGCCCCTGCCGGGGTCATTGATTTTCACTATGGACATATAGTAAAAACTTAAAATATCTTCTTGTTTGAAGGTACAAGGCTTAGAGCTTTGATATTTGGTACATGTTTTCATCTATAGGTTCTCTACCAAAGTTGTTCAAATTTTGCCTCTAGTGTCAAAATTAGCCCCGCCCTGAGGGTCATAGGTTTTCCTTATATGTATATAGTAAAAACATAAAAAAACATCTTCTCAGAATTGACAAAGCCTAGAGGTTAGATATTTTGCACGAAACATTGTGTAGTGAACCTCTACCAAGATTGTTCAAATTATAGTCCTGGGGTCAAAATTGGCTCGCCCCGGGGGTCATAGATTTCCCTTATATCTATTTAGTAAAAACTTGAAAAATCTTCTTCTCTGAATTGACAAAGACTAAAGGTTAGATATTGGCATGACAAGTAGGCATTATCTGGTAGACCTTTACCAAGATTGTTCAAATTATTGTGATTATTGTGTATCGAACCTCTACAGAGATTGTTCAAATTATAGTCCTGGGGTCAAAATTGGCCCTGCCCGGGGGGTCATAGATTTTCACTATGTACATATAGTAAAAAAATAAAAAATCTTCAGTTGTATAGAAAAAAAAAAAGACAAAAAAAAAGAAAGCATCTTCTGTTCCTACACTACTATTTAGAGTTGTATTACTGCAACATTTTTCACAAGTGCAATCTTGTTTATATCTGTGTCAAGTGAAACATAACAACTGTTAGGTCACAGTTATCTCATGAAAACTTCAAATTTTTATTCTATGCATATTTAATAACTATAAACAAATATGTAAATGTTAAGACCATTATTGTGTGGGAGAGTAGCTTTAATGCTGTGGCATAGCAGTTTTTCACAAATGCAATGATGTCTTGTTCTTTACTTTTCTTTTTTAAAGATTTGTTTCAACCATTTATTTGTTTGCTTCTAGAAAAAGTAAAAAAAGAGTGTTGACCCCGCCCAGCGGTGGCTCTTGTTTCACAAATGCAATCTTGTTTTCAATAGCAACCAGTGACTCTACCATTGACTTTCATAGCAACAATTTACTTTCTGAGACAACAAGTGAATTCTGAGGCAACAAGTGAATTCAGTAGCAACTATTGTCATTAGTTTTCATAGTAACTGTTTTACTTTCAATAGTAACCAGTCACTTTCAAAGTTTCATAGCAAACATTGACTGGATAGCAACCATTAACTTTCCTTAGCAACCATGGACTTTCAATAACAACCAATCACACTTTCATACCAAAAACTGATTTTCCATAACAACCAGTAACTTTTTTAAATGAGCTTTTTTCAGATGCAGATATCAGTTTTAGATTAAGACATCTGCTTTTCTATTCTAGTGTTCCTTTTTAGTTTAGAGCCTTTGTCATCATGTGAGCATTTAAGAGCCATTATGGCTTTCTTGCTGCTTATTAATACAAGGACTTAAAATGATTGACATTTAATAATTTTGTTACATTTTTTTCAGTGTTTGACATTTTAATCACCTACAATTCTACAAAAGATTGGAAGAAAGCTTTAGCCGGAAATGTTCCCAGAAGAAAAGGATTTGTAATCTCACATGATGATGCCATTTGACAACAAGACAGATTCTTTTCGCCTGATCTAGCTCACCTGATCTAGCTGTTAAGACAAAGCTGTGCTTTTGAATATTTTCTGTTCCCAATAAAGCAAAAATACCCAAAAATATATCACTCTGTTTGTAGTTTGTTAGATATAAGTTTGTAAAAAGTCAATTTAAATGTTTTATCACTATTTTATTCAAATATAAAACTGTGCAACTCAGTTTAAATGTTTTATTACAATTCTTTTCAAAAATAAAACTAGCCTATCAAACAATAAACATTTCTTAACAAATTAAAACAAGATGTTTCGCTTAGGGCAATTGAGATGCATGTACTGCAGTAATTTGAACCCATTTAGTCACCTACCACAATAAAGCAGGGATAAACGGTGGTATCAGAATTGCAGCCAATTGTGTTTGCATTTGTGGAGTCTATGCATCTCTTAGCTCCAGCAGGTGTGGTGGTTTTGACCCCTGGTGTTTGTTTAAGTTTGTAATACCCGAGGGAAACAGACAAAAGTCCTCCCGGACAAAAGCCCTCCCGTCCAAAAATGACTAGGTGGACAAAAGCCCTCCCGTAAAAATGACAGGGCGGACAAAAACCCTCCCATGAAAATGACTGGGCGGACAAAAGCCCTCCCGTGAAATTAACAAGGTGGACAAAAACCCTCCCATACCAAAAATATTTATGACTGTTAAATACCTATTGATGTTTTTTCAATGCTCTCAACTTATTAAAATTGTAACATATATATTTGTTATTGTTTTCAAGTACATGTATGTGTATTGGCTGGACCAACCTTTCATTCTGAATATACCTTCCTGAAATGTAACTTTTTACACTATAATGCCATTAAAACAAAGTCACATTTCAAAGTAATTGACTAATTACAAGGCAAACTGTAAATGTCTTGGACTTTTAATAGGTTTTTTTAGTTTATTCAAACTTCTTTTCGTCATTTATTATTCAATTATTCTGTACTTCACATCTTTTCATATTTACGTGAATAAATATGCACTTACATATTTTAGTGCTTACTATTCAGATACCTGTCAGGAATGTGCTCAAGCTCATACAAACACGCTTATGCCAATGGAAAACAAAAATATTCATGGTTTGAATGTTAATATGTTGAGTGCATTGATATAAAATACAAACTATGTATATTTGCTGCCGGAGGGCTTTTGTCCGCCCTGTTATTTTCATGGGAGGGCTTTTGTCCGCCCAGTCATTTTTACGGGAGGGCTTTTGTCCGCCCTGTCATTTTCATGGGAGGGCTTGCTGGAGCTAAGAGATACTTAAACTCCAGTAATGCGAACCTATTGTTCGCCTTTTATGATCACACAGGGATAAACGGTGGCCGTAATTTTTATGCCTTGACACTCAAAGGCAACCCTTCAGCCAGAAGGGGATTGACACGAGTAAAATATATTTTTAGCATCAGTGACCCACTTAAAGTTGGAGGACCACCCAATGTACAGTCGAACTTACCATAGCGACTCACTGATTTAAACGACTTCCTGTCATATACGACCCTGTTTCAGACCGCCAACCTAAATCACTATGTACTCCCTGTTTGACGCGACTAATGACCTTGAATTTTGCATCCCCTAGTACATATACAGCTTTATTAAATCACTCTTTGTACATTTTTTAACAGTCAATATTGTAAGGAAAAAGATGTAATTTGCACTTTACACATTGAAGAACACAACAGCGCTCGAGGCATTATTGTATCAATCAAGTCGATGCATAGATCCCTGACCTGTCTAATTCTAATTATCAGATTAGTGGGTACAATAAGAATGCACATGTCAATGTTTGTGGTATTATCAATTGTTATTCAAATGAAAGGTCAGAGTAGGTATCTCTCAATTAGGGATTATTGTGCATTTTCACAGCTCCCTGACAATATCCTTGCAGGTTGCAAAAATAAATAATCAAAAGTTATATCAATATTCTAAGTTTAAATAAACTTCTAACAAAAAATATCCTGTTACTATTTATAGTTGAGTTGAAATTGTTAACAGTCTTAGGTTACTCTAGGTCAGGCATAAACTAGCTTGGAAATTTACCGATATTAAAGAAACTTTGAAGAAAAGTGACGAAAATTTCATCATCGAGATATCTGAGCTGCATAATTTTAACATGACATACCTTCCTTTGATGTTAGCAGTCGTAATTATTGCATATTGAGCTGAGGGAATTTTTTTCAGATTTTTCACTTTTATCAAATACTCTGAGCTACTTATGTGCAAAATAAAATAATGCTTGATTTTCATGAAATGAAAGATTAACTGACACAGTAATTTGATGATTTTTAAAAATGCTTTAATTAAATCAAAAACTTAAACTAGTATTTATTTCATGTTCCACACTGTCAGATTAACATATTCAAATATTTCATTGTTTTCATCATAAAGAATCATAAAATTTTTTCCAAGAAAACATCAACAACAATCGAGGTCATTTACAGATGAAGGACAATCTTAAATTTTTACAACATCTCAGTGTTGTAATATGCATCCCAATGTCCATTATAATTAATAACAAGGCAGTCTGAAAGACATCTAAATCACCTTATGCAGCGGACATGAATGTGTCATGCATATCATAAGCACATAGTTTCTTAATGGTGATTATTTGTTCCAAGTAATTAAAAATCTTTCATAAAGTTATGGAGAACATATAACCTTGACCTTGGGGGTAGCAACCTGGATGTAACTTGAGGGTAGCAACCTGGATGTTGTGCAGATTGTATTTTGGTGGGGATCATTTGGTGCAAGTAATTTTAAAACCTTTGAATTGTCAATATATTTGTTACAGAGCGGACATGAAAAATAGATGTTTTAACATTGGACATTTGAGTGTGACCCTGACCTTGACCAAGTTGTCTTAAAAACATTGAAGCGGTTAAAATGTTATGGAGCGGACACGAAATGTTGACTTTTTAACACTTAACCTTTTATTGTGACCTTGACCTTGGAGGTAGCAACCAATTATTGCACTCTGCACATCGTCTCATAATGGTGATCACTTGTGCCAAGTTTTTTCAAAACATTTTCAGTGGTTTTAGTTATAGAATGGACACGAAAGTGTAACCTACAGATGGACAGACAGACAGAGGGAGACATCCCCTGCTCGCTTTGTGGAAGAAGATTAACAAAGTTATGTCAATTTAAGCAAAACATAAAATTTAAAATAAAATGTTAAAGGTTATTTAAGGTCAAACTTGAATAATAAAACATTACAGTTTTGCAGTGTTGTTTTGTCCCAGTATAATCACCAGAGGGCTATTGAACCCAAAGCACTCACCCAAGGACAGACTGTTATTTGTGAACTAGAACTCTGTGAGTCAGATGTGTTGCCTTGTCAACAGTATAACTGTCAGTTAGGCATTTTTATGCCCCCACAAAGTGGGGAGCATGTAGCGTTGCACTTGTCCATACGTATGTCCGTCTGTCTGTCCCGAAATCTTGTGAACGCAACTCCTCTTAAACCGGATGGCAGATTTTGCTTAAACTTCCAGGGATGAACAACCTTAATGTGTAGATGGTAGTAAAGGAAGGAATTTTTGCTGCGACCAAATTTAACAGAATTATGGCCCTTTGTTGATTTTTTCACTATATACCATAATATATGTTGTCAGCGGGGGCATCCGTGTCCTTTGGACACAGTTCTAGTTTTCTTAAATATTGGTTATTTATAAACCCTGCTCTTGCAATGTACATGTACCTTGAACTTCAGTGGCATTTGAACCGACTGTAACAAAGTTACGTCAGGACTAATAAAACTCTTATATTATTATAAATAAAAATACCATGTTGTTTTACACTGACAGATCAAATGGAACACTCTCTGTGATGGATTCTTGTGCACTGCACTTCAGGTCAATGAAAAAAAAAGCTTGCATACCAAATTTGGAGTCAATCAAACTTACAGTGACTTCTGGACAAGCCTATTAAGTATTAAAGTTAAGAAAGGGCAATAACTAAAACATCATGAAGTATAGAGTACCGATTTTTGTGCACTGCACTTCTTCTAAATGAGATCTATTATCCTATGAAGTTTCAAGTCCATAGCTTTTATAGTTTGGGAGAAATGGACCGGACAAAAAACAAGAGCTGTCCGTAAGACAGCGCGCTCGACTTTTTTATTGCTTGCCAATAAAAAAAGTTTTTGCAGTAAAAGGCAATACAAGAATCTCTGTATTTTTAAAGTGAACTAGTTGTTTGATACCCTTGAATATTACAGCAATGTTTATATGACATAATTTATGGTAAAGTGAACAAGTGGATAGGAATGAATTTTTTTAGATTTTTTAAGTTTTTTAGTGCTTGCCTATAATACAAAACATTGACAGTTAAGGGCCATAATTCAAATAAAATCTTTGACAGAATTACCTTCTCCTGGACATGTTTGGGAATCATGATTGTAAACAAGTATTCCAACTTTCAAATTAATATCTCAAACAGTTCAGTCAAAAAGTGGACTGGTACTAAAAACTTAACCAAGATTCTAAGTCGATAAAAGGCCTTAATTTTTAAAACAAATCCTTGACAGAGTTACCTTCTCTTGCGTACAGATGGGGGTAATGATGTGAAATAGCATTAAAAGTTTCAAAGCAATATCTCAAAGGGTTAAGGCAATAAGTGGATTTTACCCATATTCAATGTATTTTCTAAGTCAAAAAGGGGCATAATTCTGTCAAAAACCTTGACAGAGTTATGTCCTCTTGTCTGTTGATGAAGGTCGTGATGGTAAACAAGTATGGTCAGTTTCAAAGCAATACCTCCAATGGTTTTGAAATAAAGTGAGGTGGTACAAAAAACTTAACCAAGCTCAATACACTTTCTAAGTCAAAAAAGGGCCATAATTCTGTCAAAAACCTTGACAGAGTTATGTACTCTTGTCTGTAGATGGAGGTTATGATGGTGAACAAGTATGGTAAGTTTCAAAGCCATACTTGTAATACTTCTGAAATAAAGTGGGGTGGTACGAAAAACTTAACCAAGGTGTGACGCCAACGCTAACGCCGACGCCGACGCCGGGGCGAGTAGGATAGCTCCCCTTTTCATAGAAAAGTCGAGCTAAAAAGTATGAAAATAACTCAAAAAAGAAATGCAGAGTAACAATTCTTTATATTGCACTTTGGGTCATTGAAAGAAGCATGCATACTAAGTTTGGAGTCAATCCAACCTATAGTGACTGAGTTATGCTCCGGACATGCCTAAGGGGATACCGAAATTAACAAAAGGCAATAACTCAAAAATCATGAAGTGCAGAGTAAAAGTTCTTGTGCACTGCACTTCTTCTCAATAAGATCCATTATCCTATGAAGTTTCTAGTCAATAGCTTTTAGGTGTAGGAGAATTGGCCCAGACAAAAAAACGTATGAAAATCAGCAATGGGCAATAACTCAAAAATAAGTGCAGAGTAGCGATTCTTGTGCACTGCACTGTTGGTCATTAAAAGAAGCATGCATACAGTTTGGAGTCAAACCAACCTTTAGTGACTGAGTTATGCTCTGGACAAGCCTAAGGGGACACAGCCGACAAAAGTAACCCCTATATGTCAACTTTTTCAAGGTGACACAAAAAACTGAGAATTGGCGAGTGTTTCATACAAAAATTTGAAGGATGTTGCTCACAAGACCAAAATTCATGCAAAAGATATTTTTTACCTCACCAGAACCAAAGGTTCAGGGTGAGCTATAAGCATCAAAGTGGGATGCTCTGGCGTCTGTCGTCCGCTGTCATGCTTCTTCTCTGAAACTACTGGGCAGATTTACCTCAAATTTGGTCTGTAGCATCCTTGTGACAGTCACACTTAAATTTATTCATGTCATTTCAATGAGCTCTTTTAGGGGTCAACCAAGCTAAAAAAAGAAAAAACCTTAAAACATCTATTTCTCCTTACAAGAGTATGATAGACAGAAAGAACTAATGCCCTCTCCTCTTGGAGCAAGCATAACAAAACATATAAAACACTTAACAAACTGAATAAAAAAAACATTGATTAAATCAGTCCCAGGACTCGCAGTAGGCATCATCTAAGCTGAACCTTGTTTTAACGGAGAGGATTGATATTTCATCTCCATTGCTGCCTGTCTGTAATGTTTCTTCATTGAAATCATGTTCATCATCATCATTACAGTCGTCATCTGAGTGATCATTGTTTGCTGTTACTATAACATGATTACAATCTGGCGACATTCTGTAGCCATGGCTCTGCAGAAATTTCCTGAAATTAAATAAAAATAACATTCAATAAACTTAATGCTTTATTTAAAATAAAAACACTGCAGCAAATTGATGATAAGGAATAAGTATTTGAAGTTTGAGGTAGATACCTTAAAAACTAAAAAAGTAAAGTGAAAAATAACATTTTTCAAGTAAAAAAATCTAAGTTTATGCGGAGATAATTATTGCAATATTGGTGCTAGAGTGATGAACCTTGCCACATAACATGTGGTTAATGATAAGGTACATTAATTTGAAGTATGAAGTTGATCCCTGAAGAATTGAATAAGTAACAGTAAAAAATAATATTTTTTAAGGAAAATTCTAAGTTCAAAGGGAGATAAATCTGAAAATATTGGTGCTAGAGTTATGAACCTTGTCACAAATGATGTGGTTGATGATAAGGAGCATATATTTGAAGTTTTAAGTTAATACCTTAAGAAATGACAAAGTTATAGTCAAGCTAAAAATGAACAAAGGGCAGTAACTCCAAAATTAGACAAGGCTGTGTTTAGGTTCTTTAGCATTGCAGTTCTATCCAATGAGATCTATCTACCTACAATGTTTCATGTTGATATCTCTTAATAGTTTTAGAGTTATGTCCAGGACAAAAGTCAAAAAGTAAAAATAAACAAAGGGCAATAACTTCAAAATAAGGCAAGGCATAGTTATGGTTCTTTAGCACTGCACTTCTACTTAATGAGACCTATCTTCCTACTAAGTTTCATGTTGATATCTCTTATAGTTTTAGAGTAATGTCCCGGACAAAGTTCAAAGTGACAAAATTAACAAAGGGCAGTAACTCACAAATTAGGCAAAACAGAGTTATGGTTCTTGTGCACTGCAAACCTACTCAATGAATCTATCTATCTGCAAAGTTTCATGTTGATAACTCTTACAGTTTTAGAGTTATGTCCCGGACAAAGTTCAAAGTGTAAAAATAAACAAAGGCAATAATTCAAAAATTAGGCAAAGCAGAGTTACGGTTCTTGTGCACTGCACACCTACTCAATGAGATCTATCTACCTACAAAGTTTCATGTTGATATCTCTTATAGTTTTAGAGTTATGTCCCTGGCAAAGGTCAAAGTGTAAAAATAAACAAAGGGCAATAATTCAAAAATTAGGCAAGGCAGAGTTACGGTTCTTGTACACTGCACACCTACTCAATGGGATCTATCTACCTACAAAGTTTCATGTTGATACCTCTTGTTGTTTTAAAGTTATGTCCCGGACAAAAAAGCGGATGGACGAACAGACAAAGCAGCGACTATATGCTCATCCTTCCGGGAGCATAAAAAGTACCGTATGTTTATTTTAAAATTCATTCACAAATATTTACAATAGGTTATTTTATAGAATTCTGTGACGATTGTTCTTTTTTGCCTTAATTTTTTATTACATTTAGTGGTGCTATACCTAGATTCCAGGAGTAGTTTTATCTTTAATAAATAAGAAAACAATACATATCTAAGAATTGATTATATTTAACAATTTATTCATAACTATTATTTTATATTACAGACATATTTTTGCTATTTGAACAGTTGGTCCTCAAAATCAATCGAACATTATGCAATTCGCACCAATATTTAAATGGACATATTCTCGGCGCAACGAAGATATTTTTCTTTACCTCTGTCTTTGTTTTGAATTTATTTTAAGTTTACCAATCATTTAAATTTTACTTGTTATCCAATTTATTTTGCTTCAACCAGACCTTTCAATCTTTGTAGCAACAGACAAAATATTTCAGAATTTCAGACATGGCATTACTTTGTGAATTTATGCATTTTTCACAAAAATATGCAACTTAAATATTAAACAATGAGCACATACCAAGAACATGGAGAAAAAATTGATTACTGCTTCGGATATTCAACTGTAATAGAGAATGATTTTCAAGATTACATGTGACTGTTCACATCATTTGGCCTTTGATGTGCAGCTTGTAAACATAGCCATATATGATGCGAAATATGACAAAGGACAATTATCTAAAGTAGATACCATTTATAGTGATTTAAAAAAATATGTAACTATTTCAATCGAAGTTCAACATGAAAATAATTATGGAAACCCAGACGCTAGACTTATAAATCTAATCACATAATGATGCAAGTGTTGATAATGAACAAATATTTGAAATTTTAAGTAAATCCAAAAGAAATAAAAAAGTTATAGAATAAATAAGGAAAAGCTTAAGGGGGGAGATAATTCTGGAAATATGGACGCAAGATTTATAAACCTTGTCATATAATTATGAAGATGGAGTTTAATGTAAATGAAGAAGTTAGAGTTAAAAAAAAAAAAAAAAAAAGGAGAAAAATTTTTAAGTTCAAGGGGGACATAATTCTGGAAATAGAAACTTCTCACACAGGATTTGGGTGATAAAAAGGAACATGTAGTTGAAGTTTGAAGTAGATACTTTAAGAAAATTCATGAAAATTCTAAGTTCAAGAGGGATAATTCTAATAGTTTTGGTGCTAGAGTTGTGAACCCTGTCACATAATGATATGGTTTAAAATAAGAAACATATATTTCAAGTTTGAAGTAAATACCTTTAGAAATAAACAAGTGCAACATTGTCGCAAAATACGCCTGTCACAAAAGCTTTTGACAGAGATGTGGGTATTATAGATATGCATATAGGACAGATGTTCTGGACAATTTTCGGAAAGTATCTGGATATTTTATCATCTCTAGTGAACTTGACCTTGCAAATATTAATCTAAATTACTTGTGTCATATTTGCAGTCATGATAGTTATCATTTGTGTTACAATCCATCAATAAATGATGACTAAATGGTCCCCGTATATAACTTCAGACTTCTCTATGTGACGTTGACTTTGGTAGCAGGGACCTGGATTATGTACGCAATAAGCCTCAAAATGGTGAACATTTGTGCCAAGTTACATCAAAATCTTCCGATGAATGTAGAAGTTCCGCTCTGAACAAACATTTTTCAATGAACTCTAAGTGTGACCTTAATCTTTAACCTAGAGACCTGGTTTATGCAAGCGACACTGCTTCTCTTAGTGGTGAACATTTTATGAAGTTTCATTAGAATAATAAAAGATATGCCATGGACAAAATTTCTACATTTTATCATCTTTAGTGACCTTGCATAAATTAACCTAAATTACATGTTTCACACTAGTAGTTATGATAATGACCATATGTGTTTTCAGTCATGACTAAATGGTTCATACACACATTTTCATATTTTTATTTGAACTTTGACCCCTATGTGAGACTTTGACCTTGGCCACAGGGACCTAAATTTTGCATGTGACACTCTGCCTCACAATGGTGAACATTTGTGCCAAGTAATATTGAAATCCCTTTATGCATGTAGAACTTATGCTCCGGACAAACGTTTTTCAATGACCTATGAGTGTGACCTTGACCTAGAAACCTGGTTCATGCACGCTACATGGCTTCTCATAGTGGTGGACATTTCTATGAAGTTTCATTTAAATTCCTCCATGCGTATAGGAGATATGCTCTGGACAAAAATCAGACGCCGCCCGCCTGCCAGGGGGCAAACTATAATATGACCCGTTTTTCAAACGGGCGTATAAAAAGTTATAGTGAAAAAAGATTTTACTACATAAAAACTTTAATATAAAATCTGGATGTGGTTGTCGGTTGCTGGGTGAGTAGGACAGCTCTCAATATACTACCTATAGTCAAGCTTAAAATGATGTGCATTATCTCCATACTGCCTTCTATCCATTGTTTCATAAAAATATTTCATGACTTAATGAGTTATCACAAATATTGTTATATTTGCCATATTTTAAGTCTATTGTTATATTTGCCATATTTTAAGTCTATTGTTATATTTGCCATATTTTAAGTCTATTGTTATATTTGCCATATTTTAAGTCTATTGTTATATTTGCCATATTTTAAGTCTATTGTTATATTTGCCATATTTTAAGTCTATTGGTATATTTGCCATATTTTAAGTCTATTGTTATATTTGCCATATTTTAAGTCTATTCTTATATTTGCCATATTTTAAGTCTATTCTTATATTTGCCATATTTTAAGTCTATTTTGCTGAAAAAGTAAAGCGTTGCCCTTCCTGGCGGTGGCTCATGTTCAAGTCTGAATTAAATCCTTGAAAAAATAAAGAAGTTAAAGAAAAAATATGAAGATCGTTCTGAAATTAAATGACAAGAGTTATGAACCTTTCATATTATTACATGGGAGTTGATATGAAATTTAAAAGTTTAAAGTAAATCCTTTGAAAAACAAGACAAATCAGTGATCATATGTCGCCTGATGATAGCCAATTGCATGTTGCAGCTGCTCATGGTGTAGTAGGAGACATACAAATTATAAATGAACAAGTTGAGCTAAAAACTGCCTAAAATTCTGCCCCACTCTTTTTATAAATTGAACATAACCGATAACTGAGAGGTTTATATATAATTATAAATATAAAACTGAAAAAAAACCTGAACATTCACCATTTACTCTCTGTCATTTTAATTTACAATCAAGTTGATGTTTTGTTGTTTTTTTATTAAATAAATATAAAGTAAATCTACCTCTGAGAATCGCTTAAGATTCATTAAGACATAATGTGAGAAAGCCAAACCTTTGACTCAGTACATCCAATAAAAATCTCAAAACGAAAGTTGTCTATTTTCTCAAAAGTTTTAGTGAAAGCAAAACTGGAAAAAAATCTCAATCGAGTTAAGAAAAATACCATATCTAAGCAGAGATTTAACATCAAGTTTTATAAGTGAAAGTGGGGCATGGACTGAGTTTAAATTACTGTATAATAATTTCACAGGATATTTTGCCAATATTTTAGTAAATGCTAAAATTAAGCACATTTGCTGCCTACTAGCATTTATTTCTTGTCTGGGAATATTAAATCTGAGCTTACTTGAATTTTAAAATTGTACAAGTTTATTTTAACATGATCAATTACCTAAGCTCATCTGGCTGAAGTGCACTACGAACTTTCCTTGTCATCAAAAAGGTGACTGGTACCAAACGCTCATTTATATTCAACTTTAAGTCACTACTAAAACAGTTCTGACAAATTTCATATCCAGTCAAATCCTTCTGCAAGCTTCCTGTACTATCAGGTTTAAAACTATTATAACAATTCCCACAAATTTTAGAACAAGTCAAGTCTTCCTGCTGGTTGCTAGCATTATCCGGTTTAAAACCAATTTGTTTGAATATTGTTGGCTTCCCAAAATGATCTGAGCAATTATTTAAGTTTAAGTATTCTTCGGTGCACATATTTTGGTACTGTCTTAACTGATAATTTATTTCCATCGTAACCATGTCATCCCTAGACATTTTGTTTTCAGTGAAGGGATAGTCTGATTCTGTTATCTGCAAAAATAAAACACAAAGCATAATTAATATCACATGTCAATGGGCTACATAATCTAAATGGAAGGATTCATGTTTAATTCAATCTTAAAAATGTTATTAGTAAACTAACAGAAGGTAAAAGGAAATATAGATATATGTGAAGTTGTATTGAATTCTAAATAGTGGTTTTCATTATGTTCAGGACAAGAAAATGCCACGTAAAAGTAACAAAGGGCAATAACTCTACAATTACTTAGATAGAGTTATGTTTCTTGTGCACTGCACTTCCTCTTATTGTGATTGACCATTGTATGAAGTTGTTTTGAAGTCCAACCAGAACTTTTTAAGTTATGCTCCAGACAAGGAAAAGTATCAAAGGGCAATAACTCTGTAATTGGTCAAGATGGAGTTATGGTTCTTGTGCACTGCCCTTCTCTCGATTTGTTTTTGTATGAAGTTGTATTGAATTCCAAACATTAGTCTTCAAGTTATGCTCCGGACAAGAAAAATGCAACTGACCGCTGGACTGACCGACCAACCGACCTGGTGACTCCAATGACTGACCGACCAAACGTCCACCAGGTGACTCTTATATACCCCCAAACTTTGTTTCGAGTGTATAAAAATAATCAAGTATGAATTTGCAGCATGAAAAGCACGGCCATCCAAAAATTAGCCAAGAAAAGAAATCAAAAGTTGCATGAAAAATTGAACAATGCAAAAGTTAGAAAAGTAAAAAACATAGTTAAATATTTTTATTTACACTTGAACATTTTAGCTCACCTGAGCTTAAGGTATTAGGACCCTAATGGGCACTATCATGAACTAAAAAATTGACATCATAGGTCAGATGTATACCTTAAAGTACACCTGTATGCAAAATTTAAACAAAGTTTACCGTACGGAAATCAAGTTATGGCCACTTTTCTGAACTCAAGCTACGATGTTATGAGGGCCCTTTTTTAGAAATGAGGAACCTTTAAATAATCTGCAATAACATTCTAATGAAAACTGTTTTCCCATTAATTTTTGGTAAGAAACAAATAGTTCCATTCAGCTAACAATCCACATAAGCAAAATTATGGTTTCTACTTAAAATTTATGAAATCTGTATAAAAATGTTACCATACCCCACCCATTTTTACCACGTGTCTGACCATTTTTTCTACTTAGGGAGCCTAATTAAAAAAATTCTTAAAATTTACTCAAATGAGTGCCTGTTTTCAAAGTTTCCCTAAATTTTTAGAAAAGTATATTGGTTGATCTTGTAAAATATGAAATACTTTTACCGTCTAGTTTTGATTATATTACACTTTGAAAATATCAGGTACCATATTTATTACTAGATTTAGCATAATTTAGCCAATAAATACCTATATAAATTAAAAAATCCAAATTAAACACTTTTTTCTTTCCAAATTGGACATGAGAGATACATAAATAATGTTAAAAGAAAAAAAGAAAGAAAAAAAAAAGTTGACCCTTCTGGGGATTGAACCCATGGCCCTCATTTTCAAAGTAGTTAACAGTAGTTCTAGCCTATTTGAATACTCTTCAAAGCGGAGGTATTGCATTAGGGTGCTAATACCTTAAATGCAGTGGCTAAAAAATCAAGCAAAATTCAAACATTTCAACCTAAAGGTGTACCTTCAACCTCTTAGTGTGACCTTCACCTTTCAGGTGGTGATATAGACCTTAGCCACGACACATTGTCTGGATGTGGTAGACACAGGTGCCAAGTTATTTAACAAGAACTGTCGGAGGACAGTATTGGCTCGACTATTCAAAAATTTGTCACAAGAGTGTTTATTGAGTATAATAATGCTAGTTACCTATGAATACATAAAATTGACCGAAAAGGTACAAAGGCTTGTTATCAAGTAAATCACTGCTTTATTATTAATAATGCATAAAAATGTCCCAAAAACACACAAACTCTTCAGTAGTTATGGAGATAACAGCTTACAAGCAAAACTTTTCCATGAATTTCTAAGTTGAAAAAGGGGAGAAAAATCAGCCTAAATGCAAGATAGAATTATGGATCTTGGTCAGTGACCTACAATTAAATTCTTAATGCATATGTGAAGTTTTAAATAAATATCTTTAATACTTATTGAGATATGTAAATCTTGCATGTAAACATTAACCTAGAGACTAAGTAGAAAAGGGGAGATGAATCAGCCTAAATGCGAGTAGAGTTATGGAACTTGGTCAGTGACATACAATTATGACTCTCCAATTATGACTCTAAGTACATGTGTAAAGTTTCAAGTAAATATCTTTGAAGACCTTTAACCTTTAACCAAAATTTCTAAGTTTCAAAGGGGCAAATAACTGCAAATATTGCAGACAGAGTTATGCAATTTTGCAAACTGATGTACATTGCTACTATAAAACAGTATTGTAAATTTCAATTGAATATCTCAAGCAATAATTGAGATATTTGACTTTACAAAACAACTTTAACCCAAATTTCTAAGTTATAAAGGGGCATTATTCTGTTAATATTATAGACAGAGTTGTCCAACTTGTCAATCTGATGTACATTGTTACTATAAATAAGTATTGTAAGTTTCAACTGAATATCTCAAGCAATAATTGAGATATTTGAATTTACAAAAAACTTTAACCAAAATTTCTAAGTTAAAAAGGGGCATAATTCTGTAAATATTGTAGACAGAGTTGTCCAACTTGTCAATCTGATGTACATTGTTACTATAAATAAGTATTGTAAGTTTCAATTGAATATCTCAAGCAATAATTGAGATATTTGAATTTACAAAAAACTTTAACCAAAATTTCTAAGTTAAAAAGGGGCATAATTCTGTAAATATTGTAGACAGAGTTGTCCAACTTGTCAATCTGATGTACATTGTTACTATAAATAAGTATTGTAAGTTTCAATTGAATATCTCAAGCAATAATTGAGATATTTGAATTTACAAAAAACTTTAACCAAAATTTCTAAGTTAAAAAGGGGCATAATTCTGTAAATATTGTAGACAGAGTTGTCCAACTTGTCAATCTGATGTACATTGTTACTATAAATAAGTATTGTAAGTTTCAATTGAATATCTCAAGCAATAATTGAGATATTTGAATTTACAAAAAACTTTAACCAAAATTTCTAAGTTAAAAAAGGGGCATAATTCTGTCAATATTGTAGGTAGAGTTATCCAACTTGTCAATCTGATGTACATTGTTACTATAAATAAGTATTGTAAGTTTCAATTGAATATCTCAAGCAATAATTGAGATATTTGAATTTACAAAAAACTTTAACCAACGCAGACGCCGACGCGGACGCTGACGCCGACGCCGGGGCGACTACAATAGCTCTCATATTCTTCGAATAGTCGAGCTAAAAATCATTTAATGAACATTAAAGTTACAGTCCGGACAGGAATGTGTACATCCTTCAAATTATAAGTGTGTCCTTGACCTTGGAGGTAGGGACATGGGTCATAAACCCCACACTTGGTCTTGATGTAGTAGACATTTATGCCAAGTTATTTTTAAAATCCTTTGATGCATGACAAAGATACAGTCCTGACAGAATACCTATAATCTCTAATTGTGATAGCATGAACCTTCCAAAACGTGTGATTTTGACCTTTAAAGAAGGGATGTAGTTCGTGGATGCTGCACGACTACTGAGTAGTAGACATATGTGCCAGGTTATTTGAAAATTCCTCAATGCATGACAAAGTTACAGTCTAGACACGATTGTTGTGTAAGTGGGGATGCACAGACGGACAGACATACATGAGCCTTAGCCATGACACATCGTCTTTATGTGGAAGACATTTGTGCCAAGTTATTTTAAAATCTTTTGATGCATGACAAAGTTACAGTCCAGACACAAATGTGTGTAACTATAAATTCTAATTGTGATAAAGTGAACTTGTTAGGGTGAACTTCACCTTTGAGGTAGGGACGTGATTCTTGGATGCAACACATCGTCTTGATGTGGTAGACATTTATGCCAAGTAATTCTAAAATCCTTCGAAGCATGACAGAGTTACAGTACGGAAACGAACGTGTGTACCTATTAACTCTAATTGTGATAATGTCAAACTTCAAAATATTAGTGTGACCTTGACCTTTGAGGTAGGGACATGATTCTTGGACAGGGCACATTGTCTTGATGTGGTAGACATTTAAGCAAAGTTATTCTAAAATCCTTCCATGCAGGACAAAGTTACAGTCCGGACACAAATGTGTGTACCTATTAACTTAAATTGTGTTAATGTAAAACTTCAAAATGTGTGACCTTGACTTTTGATGTAGGGATGTGGTTCTTGAATCCAACACATCGTCTTGATGTGATAGACATTTGTGCCAAGCTATTTTAATATTCCACCTTTCTAGGGCATAATAAAAACAAGATATATTTGTAAAATACATGTATGTATGCCCCCATCGGCAGCCAAAAAGTCATGTGGTCAAGATTATCATTTCGGACTTTTGACCTAGTGACCAAAAAATCAATAAGGGTTATCTACTGGTCATGACTAGTCACTAGGTAATTGTGACCGTAAAGGTTGTGTGCAGCAATGTTATGACAAAGTTATCAAAAATTTTACCAAATAATATATGCATCATGAAGGCCTCCTTAATGACAGCCAATTTGATCTTTTACATAAGACCTTGAAACAAGTATACCAATAGCATTTTTTGTTTAACTAGAAATGTGTCCACAGGACACGGGTGCCCCCACATTCCACTGTTTTGTCAATCTTATGACTATAGGTCAAATAGTTCTTGGGCTACATGTGTAGTTAAAAATTAAATATATTTTACAAAGTAAATACTGAATAAATCCACAAGTGAACTCCAAGGTGCATAAGTACACATGCTGACCCATGTTCTTGTAAACTTTCAGGCCTACAGGTCAAACACTTTTTGAGCTATGAATGAACATGTTGAAAATTGCAAATTTGCACAACTACACATGCTGATCAACATTCCTGTAAAGTTTCATGACTCTTGGTCAAATACTTTTTGAGTTGACCTTG